GCCAAACAGAGCAAAACCAAAGTGGCGAAGCAATCTGTTGTGGGCGTGGGTATTGATTGCAAGATGAACTTGTCTTTGACAGAAGAATATGTGGAGCTATGGGTAGGCACACAATATGACAGCAAGGATTAGCAATTAACGAATGCAGATTAATGATTGTTCAATCCGGATCCAAAGTACAAATCACAGGTGTTGGCTAAGACGTGATGAGACGTAGCGCAACAAGGTGAAAACAAAGGATGATCGAAAGAACTCATGGAACAAGCAGCCCGAATTTCTCGGATTTCTCCTTTTTTTCCAAAAGGCACTAATAGGAAACGAACTTTTTTACTTTTTTTACTATTTTTTATATACTTTTCTCTGAACAAGGATCACAAAAGATGCAACCACAAAAATTGACACCTACAACTGAGGTGGGATGTGGTCTACAGAAATTCAGCACGTTCTCTGAAAAGCGTGCAAAAACTTTGACAATTTTTTTTCTATATTTTCCCGAATTTTTTTGGCAATTCTGATGAAACCAAACAGGGCGAAGCCGAGTTTGGGTCGGCTCCAAATGGTGTCAAGAAGCTGCTGAAAAAATTTCAGATTTTTCGGAGAAACGAGCGAAAAGTTATGCCTGTTTTACCGAAGGTATCTCAAGGTATGTTTTTCGGGAGGCACAACACGGCGGCGGCAGTTAGTGCAAAGCGTCCTGAAACTCTAGCACCGATCACAGGATCGTCACACGTGACTAACAACAGTAGGTATTCGCCTGATGATGTAAGGAGGGCTGCGATGATGAGCAAAATAAGAGCTACCGCAACCTGTCTAGGGTTTCTTGGCGGCGGCGAGAAGTTACATAAGGCGCTAAGCGGGCAAGTCGAGTAATGTGGTGGCTTTGATTTGTTGTTTGGGAGCGGTGGATGGGATAGCGGCGGAAAACAAAAATCACAAACAGCAGGCGATTGAACTACGACCACGAACACAATCCTAAACCAGCAACAAGACTCGACCACGGACACAAACTCAACAACACGAATCTGAAACGAAATTGCAAAGGCACAAAGGACGATAGGACAGCGGAAATTGAAATATTTTTGGGCTTTTTTAGACTCTAGGTAATGAACAAATACGAATATAAGGCAAACGAGATTATACCTCGCGGTAAACCTAAAATATCTTATACCAATTGATGAGTACAGGCCCGATCTTCCGAGAGGTAGCCGGTAAGTTCGATTTGTGGAGATCTCGACGTTGGCGATCCGGCTTCAAATCAGACGCGATTCGAACCTTGCAACCGTTACACCACTGCTCCGTTGGTTATCAACCAAGCACAACTTGATTGACCTCGCCAAGAAGGCTTTTACTGCAAGCGAATCGAAGAGCACAAGCAAGAAGGTAAAACACATTAATCGATATTGCAAATATGAATGACGCGAATATCAATAGAGGGTTATAGAACTCGGTTCCAAAGGACTAATCGACACGATGGAGGAGATCAAGAACGGGGCCTTGGATCATCTTTGTAAAGGATTTGTCACACAGTTACAATGAACGATTCGGGTTTCGATGGAAAACTAAACTCTAAACAAAACCCAATTGTGTAGCAGCGACGACGGCTGTATTTATAGTCTAAGACTCGACCTAGGGTTGGGGCCGGCCAGGGTTGGGCGCCCACAACTTGGGCTTAAAGCCCGACATGATACATGGCCAAGTTGGCCCAAATAGGTGACTTGACACCTTACCGTGGTCACATAGAATGATCCACGGACCTTCTGGAGCTGGGACCAGATCCAAAACGACGACGTCGTCGTCCTCTTTCCAACGCACCCAAGAACGGCCCGTTTGATGTCGTATGAGAAAGTTATGACCAAAAGCTTGATGACGCGGTTCTGCTGAATCCGAGGGCGACGTGGCGGTGAGTTGAAACGAATTGCAACTTGGGGAAGACCATGGCGTCGGTGTGTCCGGCATGGTGATGTCTCATCATCACGGCGTCTCGGCAAAGTGATGGCGATGGCGACGGGCGACGGTGGACGGCGCGGCCGTGGCGTGGAGCCTCGGAGCGTGCGGGTGGGCGTGGCGGATCGGGGCGAAACCGCATGAGCGGAGCACTCGTCATTGTGTGTCGGCGTGGCGTGGTGGGAGCAGAGCGGCGCTTGGTGTCTGCCGCAAGCCGCAAAGAACTCAACTCATGGAGGCGGAAGGTGGTTCCACTTGCACACGAACACGGGCGCGGCGCTGGCGGGTGTCCTTGTGCCGCTTATATAGATGGGCAGCGGGCGCCACGGCACGGCCGCCGTTCTCGCTCGGCCGACGGCTAAGGCACGGCTGTCGGGCCGATTTTTCATGCTGGGCCGATCCGAGAAGCACGGCCAAGCTAGCAGGCCGGGTCGCCCTGTGGCCCATTGTTGACAGAGAGGGAAAGAGAGGCCAGGAGGGCGCCGCTCGACGCCGCAAGGCCGGTGCCTGCGGTGCGCCAGCGTGGGGGCCGTGGAGGAGGGGGCGGCCGCCGACCAGTGGTGCGGGGCCACAGAGACCGGATCTGTGGAGGGAGGACAGCGACGCCTGGGAGCCAGGCAGCAAAACCAAGCAGACTCAGGAGCCGCAGCAGCAGCTTGCCCCCAAGGAGGAGCAGGAGGAGGTCGGGGGGGGTGAGGAGGAGGTGGCACCGTCAGCGGCTCGGGGCTAGGGGCCGTGGAGGCGAGTGGCGCGCCTGGCGTCGCAACTCGCGACTGCGGGAGTCGCGGCCCTCGCGAGATGTGCGTGCGGCGCAAGTAGGGGAAAGGGAGTGGGATAGGGTTTGGAGAGAAAGTAGTGGGATGTGCCTTTATTTTTTTTTAGCAAGCCAATGCAAGCACCGGGCCTCCAACAGGCCTTCCACTAGTTTGCGGGCCGTGCCGTGCCAGTCCACGTACCTGGGTGCGGCCCAGGCATGGGCCTATACATCGGGCCATGCCGGTCTGGGCCCGCACAGTGACGGGCCGTGCCGTGCTGGGACCGGACCAAAAACACGGGCCTCATGCCGGGCCGACGGGCTCATGCTGCATGCCCATATATATGTGCCGCCGGCTAGTGGGGCCTACGAGTGTCGGTTGCGGAATTCTGGTTTTTGTTTCAAAAATTTACGGAGGGCGTGCGGCTGGGCGTCTTTTTATCCTTTTTGATTGAGTTCTGACAAAACAAATGCTCCGGTCCACGTCCTCCAGAGTCCAGACTCCAGACCTGGACGAGTGAAGCGCAGGGAGAAGCTGGCCTTGCCGCGCACACATGCCCGAGTGCCAATGCACTCTGCCATCTGACGGTGACGGTGACGGTGACGGTGACGGTGACGACCAACTTTTTTCTGGACCTGTCACGCAGATAACAACATGCATGTCGAGGCTCTCGGCTGGTTCATCGCCATGACACCAGTACAGGCTCTCTTTTTTTTTAATAAGAGTACAGGCTCATAGTAGTGTGTACATGTCCATCTGAAAAGGATACATGTTTCAGCAGTGAACGGACTGAACCGTTTGGATGCAAAGAGGTTTGTGCTGATGGCAGCTCAACTGAAAATTCTCTGCCGTTGTTTGTAGTCGTACTCGCACATCATGTCCCAGTACGTGCCGCTGGGCAGCCAGATCAACGAGAACCAGCCTCTGCTGCTGCAGCAGCACGATTCCAAAGCTCTGAGGTAACTTCACTCAGCAGCCAAGTTCAGGACGAACGAATGGCCCTGAATTGTGATACTGAGGCCTAAAAGTTTACACCATATTCATCAAATGTTTGGACACATGCATAGAATATTAAATATAGACTAAAAATTACGACTAATTTGCGAGATTTAATCTTTTAAGCCTAATTAGTCCATGATTTGATAATGTGGTGCTACATTAACATATGCACTAATGATGTACTTAATTGTTTTTAATAAATCCGTCTCGTGGTTTACTGACGGATTCTGTAATTTATTTTTTTATTTATTTTTTTATTAGTATCCGAACACCCAATACGACGCCCCTATGTGAGACCTCAAAACTTTACCCTCTGAATTTAAACAAGGCACGAGATGCATTTCAGGCACCATAAGGGCTCGCCTGAGCATGCCTAGCAGCAAACATCTGCGATTTCAAGTTTTCAACGATATATCTGATTCACTTTTTGTATAGCGTAGAAAAAAGAAGACGACGATTTGTACCGAGCAGGACCAGAGTCGAGCTCTAGAGTTTAGATAGGTTGGCATTTCGGCTCTCTTTTGGATCAAGCGCCGTTTAAAGTACACACTGCATTTAGAGAAGGCATACACAGGCCGCTAGCCTGCTATACATGTATATTGTACAGTAGAGAAAAACCGCACGGGCAATTCGATACTGCCATACTGGTATGTGAGTGTTTCACCTTATGATTCTGGTATTCTTACTTCCACTCCAAGAATTCCATAACAGAGCGCTCCAGGGTCCACTCAGATTTGCGAAGTGACTGCAGAAAATAACTGGTCCAGAAATGGGAATGTGGCCCATAGCACAAGAAAACACATTAAACATGATCGATCCAGACCATAAGCCCATGGCACGAGAAAACATAATTTGATTAGCTCTTAACAAATTTTCATTCCCAAAACAACATATTTCAATGAGCATTTCAGTAAGCCCGAGTAAGGAATGGGAGTTTCATATGATGGAACAGAACAGCGGCAACGGCCCTGTTCGGTTGCCTGAAAAAACGGCCGATGCTAATGCTGATTTGTTGTGAAAGAAAAACACTGTTATTTCACTAAAACGGTACGGCTGATAAGTTCAAACGAACAGGGCCAACGTTCCCTCTCCCCAGAACCAAATTGTCAGGGAGAGAAATCTCGCAAAAAAACCATGTTTATCAGCAATTTTATTTATCAAACTAGCATCCCAGTGAATGAGAAAAAAACATTGCATGGATTAGATATGGGCATCACATCTTCTCTCAAAACAAAGAACACCCCTCAAATCTCCTTGGAGGATAAATAAGATGGTTACTACAACAGAGTATAAGAGGCCTTTCTACTTGTATTGCTCTGAAACTATGCAAGTAAACTTGTCCACGAATTGGCATTTCTTGTCAAAACCCCAGCCAGGATTGTTCTGCAATGAACAGAAATAGGGACAGAATTTTTAATAACAATCATAATGTTATGACAGCAGCAACCCTATTGTCAAAGGAAGAAAAAGTAGGAAGAAACTAAAAGGCAGCACTTGAAGATACAACAGAACATCTCTTGTGTTATCAATTGAATATATCTATCCACACAAGATATGCTCCAGAAAAGGGTATACAAGACCGCCACACCAGACTAACGAACATTAATGATACTCATAACAGGCAAAACATTTGAGATGTTATATGAAACACAAAACACCAAGTAAATACTCCCTCCGTTCCAAATTGTAAGTCGTTTTTGGCATTTTTAGATTCAAAGTTTTTACTATGTAGCAAAAGCTATGTACCTAGAAAAGTCAAAATGACTTACAATTTGGAATAGAGGATAAAATGTTTATTGCAGTTGAACTTTAATAAGTTTAATAAATATGCCAACACAAGGCGTCTCAATTTTTTTTTAAAAGAAACCTGGCTACTGGTTGCTGTATCATATTTTCAAGTTAACCACAAATCATGTTACTCATCACCAAAGGGAGATTCAGAAGTTGAATGATTGAAAATGCAAGCATATCAAATCGATCCAATGGAACCAAGGAATGTTCAGAAAACAAGTTGTCACAAGAAGGCAAACCTTAAGAGAGAGTAGAGTTTTGTCAGTAAACCGCTTTACTGAAGAAGGGATGCTTTCTGGAAGAGTGTTTGCAACTCTTTGCAGCTCCTCCTCTTGTTGTTTTGCAGTCACAACATCAGGTCCACTGTACATATCTATGAGCTCTTTCATATGGGGGGCTCTAGCCATTACATCTTTCACAGATTCCTGATAATGACAGAGTAGAATACATTGAGTCAGTTAAAATACTCCGCCACAAAATATATCGTATTAGAATACAACCATTAATGTTTGCATGCACTAGTTGCTATGTTAATTTAATGATCTGACACAAAATGTAATGTGATGTTGTAAGGACTTCCATAAGTGGAGTAAAAGCTGAAATATAGAATAAGGCATCTAACAAAATTGATCTGTATATAAGCTTATGCTGTGTAAAGTTATGTCACATCTGAATAGAAAACTACTAATATACCTAAAGATAAGAGGCCAATCTAGATAAATTTATGTATATAGTAGTCAGCAGAGTTATGACAGCAGGACTAGATGGGCACCAAAATTGTAGAATGTAGACATTTGTAGACAAGAGTAATATCATGATTGCAGCTTATGTTGTTCACATGTTCTATCTCTTCTCAAGCCTGTCTAGAGCAGGTAATGATCATCTAATATTACCCAACCATCGACCCATTTTGTATTGTAATTGTAGCTGTACATAAATGGATTTTTACCACTGGTATGAAGGCTTGGGATTTTCTAATACATACCTAATTCAAGTGACAACAGAAACAGTATATATACGATACGAGCAGAAACATTTTCGAGGGTAAACATAAAACTGTGCAACCAATTGAAGAAATTACCTCCCATTCTTCCTGGTTCTGGATGCCCTCAAATGCAACTATGAAGGGCTTCACCTTCTGAAGCATCTCCTCCAAGGACATTGGTGGTTTCTCATCAATATCAGGATTACCAAAATTCACATGGTACTCTGGCTCAAACTCGATCTGCATGCACAAATCCACAGCAACAAAAACTTTCAGGAAAGTCACAAGCACATCCAGATTGGAAAATGCAACAAAATCCACTCTGGCTCCGTACGCACCATGCTATTTGTGTGAAAAGCCTCGAGGTAACCATCCTCGATTGGATCTGGCAGCGCATTATCTGCTGCCTCCATGAACGCCTGCTCCAGAGTCTGCATCTTGTCCTCGCCGAGCCGCTTCTCTAGCCTATCGCCATCAGCGTTGTCTCCCAAGTAGATCGCTTGCCGGTCGTCTTCCACGTCAAAGGACCTGCCGTCGCTGCGCCCGCGCCCCCTGAATCGGCCGCGGCCCGGGCCACGGCCACGGGAGCCGCGACCCCTGCCACCACGCCCTCCGCCATCTTCGCCGCTGCGGTCCCCGCCGCCCAGGAGTTCAACCGCCCGATCCACGGCTTCCTGTTGCGACAACTTCGGTTGCTGCGCGGCGGCGGCCTGTTTCGCCGGCTCGGCGTCAGCCTGTTTTGCCGCCTCGCGGCGCCGGATGAACCGGTTCTCTTCCGGAGGCTTATCCGGTGCAGGCTGCTGCGTCCGGGGGGCCCCGCGGCCGGCGCCGGAGAACGGGAGCGTGCGGGGGAGCGGCGCCGCGGAGGAGGAGGCATCGAGACTCGGCGGCTCCGGATCGGGGCGCTGAGGAGCGTTGTCGAAGCGCTTGGTGAAGCTCGGCTGCTTGGGGGCGTCCTCGCGGGGTGGCGGCGGGGGCAGTGGGGATCCGCGGCCGCGACCGACGCCAGAGAACACGGCGAAGGACGGGATGCTGGGGGATGAGGGTACCGCAGGCTCCCCGCGGCCGCGGCCGACGGATGCTGTGGCGGAGAAGGGATCCGCGCCATCGTCGTCGGAAATGGGCCTCCCGGGAGCGCGCGGCTGCCCGGAGGCCGGCAGGCCGCGTCCACGCCCGTGCCCGAAACCGCCATCACCGCCGCCGCTTCCAGACGAGGAGGAGAAGGCGGGGGCGCAGGAGTATGGGAGTGGAGTGTGCCGCCTGGCGGCGGCGGCGGCGGCGGCGCCGATGCTTCTTCGCATGGTGGCGGTGATGGGTTTAGCGCGGGGGGGCTGCTTAGGGTTGGGCTCAACTTGTCCGGCGAAGGGAACGGTGGACATGTGAGATACGGCGCGCAGGTGTCCGACCGTTGGATCGGCTTGACGGCTCAGGATCTACGGCTGATGATTTTTTTTCTTGAGAAATACAAAATTAATGTGCCGGGAAGTGTTGAGGTGAACCAATTTTTCACTTCTCATTACTTCAGTCAGTGCAAATGTTTTCCTGTTCTAAAACATACACCATTATTTTCAACTTATAAATCATTTTAACTTTCTGACATAACATATACTCCGTATTTAGGTACTGTACATAACAAAAGTGATATATTTAAAAAAATCAAAGCAACTTTTATGATTTAAAATAGGTAGAGTATTTAGAAAAAAAACATTCTATGTCTGTTTTTCCACGATCCATATTTTCTTGGACCGGTGTACAACATATATATGGGAGAATTATCTATTTGGTACTGAAACAAATCAGTCTTTCATATTTGCCACTAAAAAATTTGAACTTCTTATCTGGCACCAAGTTAAAATTTTCTTCCGTAAATAGCACTACCGTCTATTTTCACCTGTAACGATGTTAAGTGGCTTGCAAAATGACGTAAGTGCCCTTGTTTGTAGTAGGCGTTTGGAGCACGCACGCACGCTGCTGCTACCTCTGCACGCATGCTACTGCTGCACAAGGCTACTTGCTGCGTTCATCATGACCTTAGACTCGTCGAAGCTGAGCACGCCGTCGCCGTCGAAGTAGTAGGCCAACGCACTCTCGCTGCTGACGGTCGACTCCGGTGAGGAGACATCGCTGGTGGACGAGTTGCTACTCCACGCCGGGGCGGTGTCGCCGTCATGGTCGCTGCAGGCACTGCCTAGTTCTCTGCCAAGACCGCTTGTAGCTTCCTGCGATCTCCACCATGTGCACCGTAGCTCCTTTCGTCCTTCCCAGCCTCGCCGGCGCAGACGTGATGAAAAGGTTTGTACCATCTATTAGCAGCAGCAGCAGCAGCAGCAGCGTGTTTGTACAGGTCAGTCAATGCATGGCAATCAACATTGACAGGGGAGACAAGAAATAGCGGAACTGAGCAGTGCTCTCCCAGTGTACCATCATCTGGGCGCACCCCTGGCCACACCCACAGGTTCTCATGCATGTCGTATATCGCCTGTATGCAGTCGCTGAGCTCCTCGAGCCTATAGTAGCCTGCATCCACCGGCACCGCCGTCGAATAGTACAGGGCCGTCCTCGTCAGCAAGATCGCCGACGCGGCCACGGCGGATGGCAGGAACGCCACACACCTGTAGTCCGGCAACGCCATGTCGGCCAGGTGATGCGCTAGGGCCCTGACCACCTCCTCCTCCTGGCTGTGCCTCATGAAGTGCCCGACGAACGTGTAGGCCGTGGGTCCGCTCAGGCGGTAGCCGAGCACGGCAACCAGCTCGCGCTCCTGGTCAACAGCCTCGCTTCGGGTGCACCCAGCGTACATGGCGACGTGGTCGGAGTTGATCTTCAGCACGGTGTTCCTGTCCTCGTACTTGGCTGCCGCGAAGACGGCTGCGGCGCCGAGGAGGCAAATTTGACGCTCGTCGCGGTTGATCTTCTTGGCCGACAGGAATCGGTCGACGAAGGAGACTGCGTGGTGGAACGCTCCCGGGGCGAGGTCGTAGTGTGTGGAGAAGCGATGCATCTTGTCGATGAGGTCGGCGCGGTCCATCATCATCATCTCCCCTCCCTGTCGATGGCTGAGGTAGTCTGGCGAGGGACATTCCATGGCCTCTGTCTTCATGGTCCAGAATGTGGCGTCGATGTCGTACTTCGGCGGCTGCTTCATCTTGGACGACGTCTTGATGGTGACCACATCGGCCTCGGTGGCATCGTCGGTATAGCTGAGCGGCGCTGCAAGCACCACCGCTACTGCTGGTGTCCTTGGGGAGCCCTCAGAAGCATCCACCGGCATCGAAGCAAAGCCGGCGGCTGGGATCCGAACGCTCCGAATACCGTGGAGAACGGCCTGGAAGTCGCTGTGCTCGTAGTCGTAGTGATAGTTGTGTCGCCCAGACCGCGCAAGAAACTCCTGAGGCGGCATCGGCAGGTCCGCGGCAGCGGGGGCGCGAGGGCGCACGGCGGCGTGTATGTCCCGAACAACGCGTCGATGTCGGCGTCATCGTCCACGCCATAGTCGCACCAGCGCACCGCGGCAGGAGCGACCTCCGCGTGCGTCGTGGCCATCGTTGTCCTCTTCATCATGTTTGCGCCGGCGAGGCTGGGAAGGACGAAAGGAGCTACGGTGCACATGGTGGAGATCGCAGGAAGCTAGCAAGCGGTCTTGGCAGAGAACTAGGCAGTGCCTGCAGCGACGATGACGGCGACACCACCCCCGCGTGGAGTAGCAACTCGCACACCAGCGACGTACCCTCACCGGAGTCGACCGCCAGCAGCGAGAGTGCGCTGGCCTACTACTTCGACGGCGACGGCGTGCTCAGCTTCGACGAGTCCTAAGGTCATGATGAACGCAACAAGCAGCCTTGTGCAGAAGCAGCAGCAGCATGCATGCAGAAGTAGCAGCAACGTGCATGCGTGCTCCAAACGCCTACTACAAACAAGGGCACTTACGTTGTTTTGCAAGCCAAAATAGACAGTAGTGTTATTTACGGAAGAAAATTTCAACTTGGTGCCAGATAAGAAAGTTCAAAAATTTTAGTGCCAAATATAAAAGACTGGTTTGTTTCAGTGCTAAATAGATAATTCTCCCCGTGTGTATATATATATATATATATATATATATATATATATATATATATATATATATATATATATATATATATATATATATATATATATTGAGAAAGCTTGACGTGTGGGTTTGAGGTGTCAATGGTATCAACGAGCCCAGGACAAGTTGATTGTTGATTTTCTGCTCCGAGTTTGTTTGGCACACCGTGCACGTCTTTACATAGCTTTGACCTTTTGCTCATAGGGTATCGAGGAACCTAAATCATTAAGTACTTTCTTTATTCTAAAATATAAAAAGTTTTAGCCCTGTTCTATAGCACTACTTCAACAGTACTTCTCGTCGGATAAACAATATTTTTCTCTTACAACAAATCAACATATGTATCCGTATAAACCAAATTTTAGTGAAACGAACAGGGTCTTTGCCTTTATAATGTATATTTTTTTGCAATCACTCACCATTCTGAATTATAAGACGTTTTGGTACTTTTATATTCATAACTTTTTTATGTATTTAGATATACGTTACGTCAAGATGCATGATAAAAACAATGCATCTAGAAAAACTAAAATTGTTTTATAATTTGAAACTGAGAGAGTAATTGTACATTATGTCTAAATATATAATAAATTTAATATATCTAGAAAATCAAAACATATTATAGTCTATAACGGGCCGGTGAGGAAGACACAGTAGTTGCTTTGGCTTTTCTAAAGAAAAAAAAAAGATACGTTGTTACAGTTTAGCTACCGTGTGGTGTCGCCGTGCCGGATGCGGCCGAAGCTCTGTGCCACAGTTGACAGTTCAGGCTCCATTTGGAATTCCAGATCGGGATTTTTTTTTTGAGGGGGAATCCGGATTTTTCTCTACCGTTGCCCGTGGAAATCCCTGTGTTTGCACGAGAGGCAAAGTAAAGTTCAGGAGTTTTTTATGCTTCATGATTTATACACTCTGTTCAAACTTCATAAATCATAACTAAAAAGTAAAGCTCAAGCTTTATAAGCGTAGCAGCACCTGAAAACTAAACTTCATACATGTACCAATACAAGAGAATTTCTAACAAACGACGGTGCTTATAAAGTCATGTCAACGCTAAGCGTTCTGGTTGTTAAAAAAGGAGTATTTACAGTTCAGCATTAACCGGCCAACGATAGTCGACCACAGCGCGTGCCCTGTACTAAGATCTTTTCAGATGCTATGAGGAATCGTTGATCACACCAAGCCAAGCCAACTGCGACGATCCTTCGGGCCTGTTTGGTTCCGCAACTCGCCTCCGAGGCCGTGTTTTGGGAAATGCCCGCCCGTGTTTGTTTTCAACCGGCTATCGCGCGTTGGTCACAGTCCGTTTGGCGGGATTCTTTGGCTTATCTCGATCGTAACGCGCAGATACGCGCAACCAAACATTAGTTTTTGTATTACATCATATCTTACAAAAAAAAAAAAGCCAAAAGCCACACTGTTCCCTGAACCACGGAATCCGAGCATCTAGCTCCATCCCTTGCATCTCTACCACTATAAAAACCACCAGTATCAAACTTCCCTACAGCTACCCCAACTAATGACGGACGGTGCTAGAGTCCGCCCAATCGGATGGTAACATTCGTCCGGCACCTTTTCCCGCCCAATTGGTCCGCTCCCAGCGCGCGCCGACCAAGCTGCAATGTGCGCTGCGTGGGTAGGCTCGCAGGAAGTGAGGGACCGAAGTACAAATTAATTTTTCCATTTCATTGATTTGCGTGAGGTATAAACTTAACAAAAATCATAACTACTAAACCGAGTATCTAAATTAAAATTCGGATTGTACCATTATGTTTCTTATAATAAATACTTCAAAACAAGACCCCACATAGATATATTTAGATAAAATTTCATTAACGAACATTAATTAATAAAGATAAAACATTTTCAGTTATTGAGCAGACGCGATGTTGTAGGTTCAGAGAATAATGTTTCGTCTTCATAAGAAAAATATTCTCTGTTTAGACAATATTCTAGTTTTAGATTTATAAAATTAGTATTATAATATACATATGAAAATAAATACATAATATAAATAAATAATAATAAACTCTAGAGCCAAGTATAAGAAAAAAATAAAAACACGTAATAGAAAACTTTTTTGAAAGAACATCACACGGATACTTTTCAAACATCCTAGAATATATTAGAAAACATCACATGTGTATTAAGTGAACATCACTAAATACACCATAGAATATTACTGAATACATTATAGAACATCGCATCTATATTACGTGAACATTACTAAATACATCATAGAACACTACGTGTACTAAGTGAATATCACTAAATACACCATATAACATCACTAAAAATATATTATAGAACATCGCATATATATTACGTGAACATTAATAAATACATCATAGAACATCACATGTATACTAAGTGAACATCACTAAAATACACCATAGAACATCACTAAATATATTATAGAACATCATATATATTATGTGAACATCACTAAATACATCATAGAACATCACATGCATATTGTGTGAACATTAAAAAAAACACCATAAAATATCACATGTATACTACGAGAACATCACAAGTATAATAGACGAACATCGTAAAAAACATCATAGAACATTACATATATATAGGCGCCACGTGAACATAAAAAAACATCACAGCACATCACATGTATAACATGTGAAAATAAAAACACATAAAACATCACATGTATAATATATGAACATCACGAAAAACAACATAGAACATCATAAAAAATAATAAGAAAAGAAAAAATAAGAAATAAAAGGAAAGTAAAAACTATAAATATTAAAAATGAAAACAATAATAAATGTATAAAACAGAAAATAAAAATAAAAAATAAATGATGCAAAAAAAATGAAAAGAAAAGAAAAAAATGAAAATAAGAAATCCACTAAAACATAAAAAGAAATAAAAAAGGAGAAAGAAATAGAAGAAGAAAAGAATAAACCATGAAAAATATAAATAAAATATTGAATTAAATAAAATAAAAAAGTAAAATAAAAAAGGAAATTAGAATAAAGAACTACAAAAAATAAGAATAAAGAACCATAGAAAAAATAAATTAAAGAGTAAAAATAGATAGATGCGAAGAAAGAAAACAAAAAGGAAAAGAATAATAAATAAATAAAAATAAGCAAAAATAAAGAAAAGAAAACAAGTAAAAAGGAAAGGAAATAAAATTAAAGAAAAATAAGTTAAAAAGGAAAAAGAAATGAAAAGAAAAAGATAAAAGAAAGGAAAACTGTAGCACCTACTCACATGATGACGGAGGACAACACAGCGTGGCAGTGATAGATTGAATCAAATCATCAACATGGGCCAAAGCATCCTAAAAAGGCCCAAACAAAAAATAAACAGCTCAATACACAAAAAGCACTTGTGTTCACGTGAAACAATCGGCCAATCAGGCGGGAATCACAGCGACGCCGGAATCATGGGCGGAAGACTCGGGTCCGAACGTTCGGACTCGAAAAATTCCGACTAATGACCTCAGTAGTCATGATCTCTCCTAGATGCATAAAAAAAACTACAATCAGAAACAATATACATTTGAAACGAACGCATCAGATCCGCTCTAACCTCTCCTTACTCTTAGGATGTGTTTGGCTGCTTATCTCATTGGACAGGATAGGACCATCCATGAATGAGGTGTGTTTGGTTGGATGGATCATTAGGTAAAGAAATCCATGGATACAGAATATTCCACCTAGATGGTGAATTTTATGGTCCGAAAAAATCTGGCGAACCAACTTATCCATGTCTTATAATCTTTGTCATTAGTAAGACCTTGTTTAAATTCAAGGTGTAAAGTTTTGGGGTGTTACATCGGTTGTCATATGGGTGTGTCGCATGGGGTGTTCGGATACTAATAAAAAAATAAATTACAGAATCCATGAGTAATCCGTGAGACGAATTTATTAAGCCTAATTAATCAGTCATTAGCACACGCGTTACTGTAGCACCACGTTGTCAAATCATAGACTAATTAGGCTTAAAAGATTCATCTCGCAAATTAGTCGCGAACTGTGCAATTAGTTAAATTTTAGTCTATATCTAATACTCCATGTATGTGTTCAAACATTCGATGGGAAATAGAGTAAACTTTAGGGGAGGAACTAAACAAGGCTTAAATAAATTAAGGATTATTAGTATGTTATTTTAATACTTAAAAATTATAAGGGTAGGATTAGTTTTGATAAGTGTTAATATATTGATTAGTGCATGTTTTATGTGTTAATTAGGATATTTAGTGGTGCTAATTAATATATTTTATTTTAAATTAGTGATTACCATGATATAAATAGTATTAGTGCATATTTATTAGTGTCTAATTAGTTGATACTATTTTTAAATAAGAGATATAATTAGTCAACTATTATCGTCCCATCCACTTTCATTCATACAACTAAATAAATAGCTTATCATATACGTCCAACCAAACGTGCATCATGAATATCCTTGTCCCAATATATACACGGATATATATCCTATCCAACTTGATCACAAACCAATCGCACCCTTCCTCACTCAGATCTCATGTTCTTTGATCAAACCTTCATCGCTCAACCCACCTCGTGTCCACCCGCTCTCACTCCCTCTCTCCCCGACGCCCCTGGCGCGACTCCCTCTCTCCCCCGACGCTTCCTCTCCCACATGGCCACACGCGCGACTCGCTCTCTCCGACTCTCCCCCGATGCCTCCTCTCCCACACGCGCGAGTTGCGGGCTCCAGCGATCCTCTCCCCACGGCGCGACTAGGGCAGGCGATCCCGGGCCTCTCGCGCGCTCGCGCAGCGGCCTGCGGCGGCGGCGGCGGCCAACCGCCAGGAGGTCGGGGCAGCCTGGATCTGCGCCCCCCTCCCGTGCTAGGCGCTGGCCAAGCAACGGCTAGCCGGGCCGGCGGCCGGCCAGGACAGGCAACCGGCGTGGAGAAACACCATGCTGCAGCTCGGCCTCTCCAAGGTGGAGAAGGTAAGCAGCGCCCGCCTGAGTCCGTCTTCCCGATCTGTGTTGTTCGCGTTAGTGGTGGAGCCGAGGTTTCGCGAATCTTTGGGGAGGATGCGGGCTAAGCGGTTAGGTTCTGTTCGAGTTTTGAGTCCCTAGAACCATTCGTCGATTTCATGGTCTACAGGCGGCGTCAGGCGCGGTTGCGTGCCAACTGATGGACGCGGTCACGCGACGCATCCCGGTGCTGTGCCGATGCACAAGGTTAACTTCGACGCCAAGACGGAGACATGATCCAGAATTACAAGGGCCTGCAGGATGTGTTCTACAAGCTCAAGATCATTAAGGTGCATTACGGCTTGGTTTCTCTCCCTTCTCTTGTGCTGAAACAATTGAACCAGTTTGCTTCATGCTCTGAATGTTCAGTGCTGATGAGAGTTGATTCCAGTTGTGTGATGTGGCATGTGCACATGTTATGCAGTAGTGTTAATTTTTGGGCAAGAACTTGTTATGCAGTGGTGTTAAGGCCTTGTAGGATCCTAATTTTTCTCTGATTCCTTTGCTAACTCGAAGCAATGATGCCATACTTACTGTGCTCTAATTTTTGCACGCCATGTTGTTTGGTAGCTTTAGAATCTGACGACAACAATGAAACACTCTACAGTCTGCAATCTGACGACAATCATGAGTTAGGCTGTTATACTTTGTAGTAAATTAGTTTTTTTCTTGTTTAGGTTAAATACTTACTTGATGTTGTTCAAAATAGGCTTGCCGTGATCTGCTCGCCACAAACCCCTACCCTGCTTGCCGCCAACCCCTAACCAGCCGACACCAATATTAGAACTGTTGCTACCTGGCTCAGATCATTTTGATTTGAATTCCTTTTTTCTTGTGTTTGTGCAGAAAGTACACATGGCTGGGATCATTAGGCATTACAAGCTCCTCGAAATGGTTGCTGAGCAAGGAGTGGAATTTCATTCAACTGTACTCAACCTTTGTCGTGCCTATTCTGAATTTAGGCCAGTGCATGGAGATGGAGAGTGTTTCTACAGGAGCTTCATATTTTCCTTGTAAGTGTCCTCCTCCCTTTTCCTTTGAATAAATTTTATGTATAGTGGTTAACACAATAGTTTGTGCCACTCTAAAACAGGATCAAGTTCTTCATAGGCAGGATACACATGAGGAACACCGTCTTCTTTCTCGTCTTGCTGTGTTTTGGGTACCGGTCACCACTTTGCAGCCACGAGCCCACTGCCCATTCTGGTACGGTATTTCTTTCTCCTCTTGTCGTGTTTTGGGTAAGGAACTCATGCAACTTTAGTTGGCCATATGTTTACTCAGCTGACTACACATCCGTTTATGCAACATAACTGGGTTTGGGAAATGTATTAGTGCCCCAGATGAACCGTTCTCTCTGTTTATGCTAGATCAATTTTGGTCTTTTTGCTTTGTGTGCACATTACTGTTTTCCTCTTCGCAACCCAGCATTAGCTGATTCAGCCTTCGGGTTTCTTAGATACTATGACTTATTTAGTGGGTTATATTTTCCGTTTAGGTTCGATTAGGTTGGCATGATGCTGGTACAATTTTACAGCATGTTGACATAGGTTCAAATTTTTATTTATTGGAAATGTAACAATCTAATGCTAATAAAAATACATGGTGAGATAAGTTCATCTCCACAGAGCACCAGTAATACGATATAATTAGAGAAATAAAAGAGATCATGCTTCTTCCCTACACCAATATAATGCACCCATGCTGCTTTGTTTGGTCCTCTGATGAAATCACTAATGTTTTGTTTCTCCTACTTGCTTATAAATATTTTCTTTCTCAACTACTATCCTATAGCTGTTGCTTACTGGTATAAGCTGCACAGACAAGTGTTATGTTGGTCAACTACTGTCCTCAGACGACGGCAGCAAGCTCAAGATGCTGCTACTCAACCGCGGTTATCCACGCTATTTGCCCTCTTCCCTCACTAGGAGTCTAGGACGGAAGCTTGAACTGGTAAGACACCAATCTCTGCCCTACTTAGCTGCCTTAAGACCATCGTATAATTTTCTTGCTATTTCTTCTTGTTAGCTTGGTATAATAATCTCTCCTGGTTTGTAATCTAATTCAATGGTGTTGAGAACGGATGGGTTGCTTTGGGTTTTAGTAGGATCTGAGATATGGTGGGCACCATTTGTTTACTCGCCCACATGTCGTTTGATGAAATGTCTCACCTAATAAACAAGTGAACCTTGTATCTTGGTTTTTACTCATCGGCCTCGTTTAGATTGCAAATTTTTGCAATCTGGACACTGTAGCACGTTTCGTTTGTATTTGACAAACTTTGTCCGATCATGGACTAACTAGGCTCAAAAGATTCGTTTCGTGATTTACAACCAAACTGTGCAATTAGTTACTTTTTTTACCTATATTTAATGCTCCATGCATGCGTCCAAAAATTGATGTGATGGAGAGAGAGTGAAAAAACTTGGAACTTTGAGGCAATCTAAACAAGGCCATCATTGAATTGTTGGAGGTGTTACTGCTGCCTCTCTGCTTGCAAATATATGCTTTTGTGCTCAAGTGTTACTTCTGAATGTTCTATTGCTAAGTTGAATTTTTTTTACAATTAGGATGGGAGCAGTGACTGGATCTGATTGCTACAATTATGTTGTTACCATGCAGTTGGCGTCACTTCCAACAAGCATTATATAAGAGGAAGGAAGCTGTTAGTTTCATGTGATACAACTGATGCTGAAAATGATGCACCTCAGGTGGCCCCTAGCATCCCCTCTGATCTGCAGGTAGAGTTCTTGGCTAAATATAGACTGAATCAAGTAATATGAGTGCTGACACTACTTGATCCTGTGACTTCTAAATTCTGATCCCGTGAATTCCCATGGTTTCAACATGGCGCGTTATATGTCTGGTTCTTACAATTTGCTAAATGTTTTAGGTGCACGTACATTGGCTTTACCAGAAGCGTGGTGGTGTGCTGGACTTCCAGATTCAGTTGCTTACCATATAAAATATTTATTATGTCTATGATTTGTGATTGGGGACGTGACAGAGATCTTGTTTAGATTAAGGCATGTAGCTGGTAGGTTATGAACAAAAGAGAATTACTGATAAAATTTTCTGTACAAGGTGAACTAATACAAGTATTTGTTCATTCTCATCTGTGATCTCTTGTTGGAAACAAATAATATCACATTGTTGTCTCGCAAGCGCACACTCTACTGACCGATTCTGGGTTCTGCTGTATTCACAGAAACAGCGAGTAGATAGGCTGCTGGTACAAGAGTTAGTTGCCTGGTTCAGCATTATTTCGCACCAGTGAAGCTGACGCATCTAAATTGCTTCTGACCAAATGTTTAGTAGCAGCAGTACTATCATATTCTTCCTGCCACTCATAATATATTATTTTGTCTTGCATATTTTCAGGAGACTACTGAGGATATGAGGACAAGTGGAGAAGCACTAGCATTCATTGGATTTGAGGAACAGGATACTGTCAAACTGTAGAAGTAAGCAAGTAGCCCTGATAGAGGAACATTTTTAGCCAAATTATTTATAACGGATCAATTGCAATTGCAAATATTGTCCGTAACATTTTTTTTTCCCATTGGGTTGTTTTCATGTGTATCCCCGAAATGCAGCCGTGGCGTTTTGCACGGGCACTATACTAGTCTCCAAGCGAAGGTGACAAGGCACACGCATAATCCTTATTATAAATAAAAAGGCACACGTGTAACTCTACATTCTTTTTCATAATTTAAACCGATTTAACAAGGCATGGAATGATATTATTTGAACAAGGAAGAAGCTAAGCAGCTCATTCCAGAATTATTCGAGGCAGGAAGCGAAACCCAGCGGTGAGGTCATCCAGCACCACAGCTCGCTCACACTCGTGCCACGCCCGGCGCCGTGGGACGATCTGCAGCGCCCCCAGCTCCTGCTCATTGTCCCTGACCTCGCCGTCAAGCAGGTGCACGTGCCTCAGCGACGGCGACCTCTTCATGATCATTCTGACAAAGCCTGTTTGCCACCCCAATCCTTTGAAGCCTGCCACAACAAGCTCCTTCAGGCGACGGTTCTGATGTTGCTGCGCATCGGCGTCCAGACTGTCACAAAGATCACCTGAGCCTCGCTGCTCCGAGTTGTTGTCAATCTGTCAGATTTCAGAACAGATGGGTTTACAGTTAGTATTTCCAACATCCATGCGCATATGTTTTCAGTAAGTTTGGTCAAGAAAAAACGTACATGAACATGGAACGATTCCAAGGCTGGTGCTGCACCAAGCAGTAGGAGAATCCATAGTACGTCCCAGTTCACTGGGACATTTGTGATGAACAGTTTTTTGAGCTGACCACCAGGAACAACAAAAGGTTCGATCCACATCTGTATACATAAATACACAACGGTTTTTACATGACACAGCAATGTCAATACACAATTACTTAAGTATGCATAAGAGATAAGCGATGATTACTCACCCGGGGTCCTTTGAACTGCAGAACAAGGGAATCTAGCGGTGGGATCCTTTTGAAGAATTTGCTCGGTGGATATGTCCTACTAGTACCAGATTCATCGTCGATGTTGTTATATTCGGTCTGTAAGTAGTCCAAGCTCACATGCCTAAGGCGAGGCACCTCACCATAGGATAACTTGGTTGGGCGACCATGGCAAACGAAAGTCTCAAGACAAGGCAGAGACATCAGATATATTTTCCCAAAGCAGCACCAATCCACTTGCAGACTCTTTATCTTCGACGTCGGCACAAAGAAACGTAGAGCAGCTTGGCAAACACGAGAAGATGTGATTTTGAAATCCCTTAGCTCTATGCAGTTTCTAAGAATACTACTGATGATTCCCATATATGAACCTGCACCCAATGTGAGTTTGGTGAGCCTCTGTACTGTCAGGCAGTTCCATGCACAAAGAGGCTGGCAGTTGGATAGCACAAGCCGCTCCAGAGGAACGTTCTGGTATCGATCCAGCTGCTTGAGGTCATAGCATACGCAATAGCCATCAATCATAAGCTCAAAGTCCTCAACACCCCACTTGGCAATGGCTGCAGTGACCCATTCATCAATGTTTTCATGCAAACGTCCCAGCATTTGTAGCCTCAGCTTGTGGACAGGTCGGCGCTGACGCACATTCTTTGGGCTAGAAGAAATGCGTTCACCTGCTTGACATAGCGCCTCATGGCCCGGCGCTTGTAGCGTTCCAGGATGGCACTGAGAGGCCTGATCTTGGCCATCCAACGCTCATGCCGAGCCTTGATGGCATAGATGTCGGTCAGCTTGTGCATGTTCTTCTCTGCCTCGTACGCTGCCTTAGTGTAACAACCCGGGTTTTTGGAAAAGCTAAAAATACGAACTTTTTTAAAATTTTTCCTGCAAAGTGTGAAACATGTAGATGCTAGGTCAAACTAAGAACAATTTATAAATAAATTGTTGCATGCATATAGAATTACTTATAGGAGTTCGTCGGAGTTCTTTTGTTGGTTTAGTGTTTCGTGTTTGAGAGCACAAGTCCGTAGCGAATCCTTTTTAACTCCTTCTAGAATCTCTCATGAACCCTTGACATGGACCCCACTACCCCTAGTTGACCTCTAGTGGACCCCACTAGGAGCTGTACATGTTGGCAACACGTGTATACCAACCTAGAGCCCTCGGAAGTAAATATAATGAAGCAAGAATGGAAAAGAAATTAGAAAAGGGAGGAAAAAACAGAAAGCCATTTCGCCCAAGGTGCCAAAGCTAGCCCAGCTCTCCAACTCCGCTGGCTGTTTCACACAGCCAGACAGCTGCCCAATAGCTAACAGCTGACCCACAATCACCGCTTCAGCGCTCGCTCATGATAAGCTTGTCAGACATGCATTTCAAAGAAGCCACGAGGCCCTAGCTGGCCTCCTCGCCGCCGCCCACGCGGACAAGAAGAAGAGCATGCCCGCCGGCCTCCCAATTGAAAGCCCAAAGAAGCCGTCGCCCTCGTCTTTCCTCCCGCCAGTTGACGGATGGAGCCCGGCCGTCATCACCTCTAACGACGTCATTTGGCGGTGGGCCATTGAACCCACCTCATCATCCCCTTCGCCGCTTCTTCCTCTCGCTGGACAAAGCAGAGCACCAAGCACCGAGAGGTAGGCCGCCGCACACAGATCCGAGGCTGTGGTCGCATCCCGACCGCCCCTGTTCGCGCCACCAACCCTCAAGACGCCCGAGGCGTGCACACGTCCTGGTCCGGAGCTCGCCAAATACCGCCCCGCGTTCGACCGACGCCGCGCCCGACCGACGCGACCAAGGCCCAACGCTCCTCTTCACGAACATTCCAAGCCGCTACCTGCTCCAGCCTCCGGATGACCGCCACGTGCACCGACCGTCCCATCAAGCGACGCCAGACGCCACCGACCTTGCGAAACCCTAACTGCGGGCTATAAGAACCCCACCAAGGCCTCGCCTCACCATTTCCCTTCCCGGTACCGCAGATGCTCCCTCCCATCTCTCGCCATTCGCCTTTCTCACCTCGCCGCAGCAGATGCGCAGCCATGGCTTGAAGCCGGGCCAGCCTACTCGGCGAGCCGCCTTGCCACCGACGCCGCGCCATCCTACCCCCGCCGCCGCTCAGCGCCTTCCAATTGGCCAACGTCCGAGCCAGAAGAAGAAGAAGAAGGAAGAGAGGATAAGAAGTAGAAGAGAAGCCAGAGCCTTGCCGGAGTTGCCAAGACGCCGTAGCCAGGGACGACATCGCGATCGTCTTCCTTCCCGTCGCAGCCTGCACGGCACCGCACCAACCCGCCACGGCCCCAACGCGCCACCACACCGCTACCCTGCTGCCCCAAGCCCCACGGTAAGCCCCCACGCCGCCCCTGTGCTCACCAGACCACCATGAGCGTCCTGCGTCCTTGCTCTTCGTGCCATGGAACACAACCTCGCGGCGTAGCGCCGTGCACGCAGCCAGCTGACCACCGCGGCCACGCACGGCTGCCTCGCGGCTAGACGCCAGCAAGCGCACGCACATCACCGCACGGCCTTGCACGAGCCCTGTGCCCTGCCCCATCCTTGCTGTGGCGCACACGCATGGCAGTGGACTAGACACTGCCTTGTCACCACCGTCCGCCTCGACCTCGGTACGCACCAGGAGTCCCCAAGTGCCGGGGCCACTCCTCTTCCCCTCGGCTGTCGCCCTGCCCAGCTACGTAGCCGCGGAGGCCCTTGACCGCCTCTGCTCCACCCGACGACCATGGTGCCAAAGCCGAGCCCATCCCCGTCGAGCTGCGTTGCCCGTGCTCGACGCCGTGGCAAGCTCCTCGTCGAGCCGTTGCCACCTCGCCGTCGCGCTCCGCCTCGTCCCTAAGACACCACGCCTCCAGCCGTGCCTCTACCGCCCCAGCGTTCGCGCGAACGCGGACACATAGGGCCGCTCCGCGCGAGCACGCCGCCGCTCAGGACATCGTCGACCCCGAGCCGGTCACCACCAGGCACTGGACTGCACCGCGACGGCACCTGCTCCACGCCGGTGTCGTCGTGTTCCGCTACCCCCGGAGCCGCGGCCAAGAGCTGCTCCTCGCCCGTCTTTACCAGCGTCACGCCGAGCGAGCCCGGTGCCCCCGCACTCAACCTCACCAAGCCCTCCGCACCGGCTGGACCAGCCCTCATGCACCGCTTTGGGACGCCCTCGCCCGAGCCCGTCCTCGCCAGCGTCGCGCATCGTCTGCTCCTACGTCAAGGCACTGAGCCGGTGACACTTTGCCAGATGGAGCTACGGCCCGACAAGCCGTCATCTTCTCTCAGGCTTGCGCATTGCCGTTCTTCGTCACGTGCCGAAGCTCGCCATCGCCGCGAAAGCGAGCAAAGGCCGCGATTTGCCGACCGTGACCATGCCACCGAGCCGCTCTACGCGTTGTTGAGTCCCTCGGCGCGTGGCCTACTCCATCTCGCCCGTCGACATCCCGACCGTGCGTGGGCGACCTCGAGCGCGCCGCCTGCGCTGCGTGTGACCCTTCGCGCCTCCACCAAAGTGACCCACGACACCGTACGCTTCCTCTCCATCACCGGTCGGGGCGCCACACCACCAACACGCGTTCGTCGCGCGGTTTCGCCTCGACTTTTTGCCGGCGCCGCGTCCACGCCGGGAACCAGAGCCGCGAACGCCTTCACCACCACGTTCGGCCAAGACAAGAAGAAGACTCTCGAGCCCCTGTTCCCCGATCTGCGACCTGTTGCATCCTCCGTTGGCGACCGGCAAGGCCATCTTTGCCGGTCTCCACCCGCCACACCTCCGCCTCATTGTTCTAGCTCAGCCACGTGACCACCATCGGTGAACCTCGTCGTGACCTTGCACGCGCATAGACAACGACATCGCCAGTCGCCGCTGACTTGGCCTGGCCGGCGTAGCTTTCCCCCCTCCAAAGGCAAGAAGCCCAACTGGACGGCTTGCTAACCGAAAACACTGACCAAAGACTGCCCGTGGCCTCCCTCTCTTCTTCTTGCGTGGGCGCCGGTGCACTAAGCCCAATTCGCCTCGAGCAAGACACTGTGCCCATCAAGCCTCGAGCCAAAGACCTGATGCAATTTCAATTGAACAGCGGCCCTTTTCTTTTTAGGAACCAATCCGGGCTTTGAAAATTCATATTAAATTCAAATGGCATCGGAAAATTGTGAAACCGGTTTAGTAATCTTTCTAAAACCGAACCCTACGAAGTGGACCAACCCTTAAGTACTTTTGACCCTCAAAACTAAAGAGCCACTCTTTACTTGCGCTCACACCGTTCGCGCAAGACACATCTGATACTACCGGGATGCCACCATATGATTCCAAGCACCCTCGACCATGAACTATGACTAAGCCTTCGACTCGATGCTCTTAGCCATGCCCGGCCAAGCCGTAGCTGACCTCTGGCCAACCTTAGCCACTTATGGCGAGCCGTAGCAAGCCACAAACTAGCCATATAGTCAGAATGGCGGCCTCGGTGCCGCAGGAAGAAGCCACAACCCTCCGGGACAAGTTACAACCGCACCTGGCCAACTTCACTGTTGCCGAGACCATGGAAAGCCCCATCTCACATCTTTCCATATACGCATATCTACCTTGTTGGGCCCAAATCTTACGACACCACCGCCCATGACTGGGTTTTACGGGATCTATCCATCACTTGACTATGGATTGTGCCACTCCATGATCGTGTCGAGTTGTTGCGTCTTTCAGTCGTGTTTGGTTCTTATCACTGCTTGTTGGTGTTGTTGCCTGTGTGCCGAGCCTTCGAGCCGGATGAGGGATCGTACCTTGTTCAGACATTACGATCGCGGGATCCGTCTCGCCATGACCGTGATGCCGAGTGTAACTCGACCCCTCACTTTTTAGTTGACTTCATAGTACCACGAGTGTTAGCTCCTGCCTTCAGCCCTAGAACATGGTCATGATGGATTCGATGTCGATACTAACACCGATGCGGATATCACCCGCACGCCTTGAGCCCTCCATGACCAAGTCCTATGGGAGATGACACGGAGATAACAATCGTGGAACGATGGGTGCCAACTTCGTTGGTGAAGCTTGTGTCGCGAAGTTCGCTTCGCCATGACCATGGAGCTACGCCTCTCTTTCGCTTTTGTTTGCTTCTTCGTGCTCAAGCCCTTGTATGCTTGTACCCCGTTTGACCATCACGTTTCTCTGATTCTCGCTGTGACAACCGCACCGCTTCAAATCCGAGAGATATCTCAGTGCTAGTGCACCCAGGTCGGGTACCCTACGAGTGGCTTACGCACTTGGTATTCTTGAGTGTCGCTCCTTCCGATGCCCCGTCTTTGTCGTGGCGTGTGCGTTAGAAGTAGACCTTGCTCTTGGTTGTTCTTGCTCTTATTGCCCCGATAGCCGCTCTGTTCGATCCCGTCTTGCCCGTGACGATTGGATCAAAGACCAGACTATTCCCTTTTGCTAGCAAAGCTATGGTCTAAGTCGTACCTCGGACCCGTGCGTGTCGACCCGATCGACCGTCTAAAACCATCTTTCCCGAAGATGTGTCTGAGAACATGACATGGATGTGCCTAGCTAACCCCCGCATCTTTTGCCGTGTTGAGCAACTCTCTTCTCAGCTCCCGACGCTATTGTGTCGCGTGGATCGAGAGGACCCGTCGCTGTCCAACCTCTTTGCGCTACCGCTTCCTACCATAGCGGGTGAGCCAAAGTACATTGGAGCCAAGTTACAATAGTGTTATTCGTTCTTGTTTGCTACTTGTGTCCAATTGTGGCTTGCGGGATAAGGCTATAAGAGTCGAACCCCGTCGATCTTCTTTCTTGGGGCCCGATTTCCAATCCCCGTCAACCCAATGACACCAGATCGAAAGATCGTGAGCCGTGGTGTTTGCTCTGGATAAGCTTTGGCTTAAACCGTTTATCGTAAAGCCATACTGGCTTGGCCATGACTTAAGCTTGTGCTTAGCAAACCACCACTTGTGATTCTTTGGCCCGAGGAAATCGGACAACCACCGAGAGGGCTAAGCCGTGTATCTCTTATTGTATCGATGGCGTTATTGGATTTCCTGTGACTCGTCGTCTTTTCAAGTGTTGAGTGCTCGCTTGCCTTGCGTGTCGCTTTGCGGAGTAGCTGACGATCGGACCAAGAGAACGTGGATGACGACAAGGACTGTGGAATGGAGTCAACACAGGAGGAGGAGACCCCGCTAATGGAACGCCAACGAATCGAGAATTGTACCACTACTACCTCTACATCGCAGGTGTCATGGCAGCACCCTCTTTTAGAGAATCCTATTAGACATTGCGTAATATCTAGAACTGCTAGCGCTTTATAAATTATTCCTTTGCTAGTACTTTGATGCATGCTACTACCTGAGCCATTATTACCCTGATGCAACCCACTCTACCACGTCACCCTGCTTTGCGCATTCGCTCGCTTATATATGCTTACTTGCCTGCTTGCTTGCACATTACACCACTATACTTATTATTAACTCTACTTCGCATTATATCGGGGATGTGATGTTGGTGGTGAACCCCCTGGGAATGGTTTGGCTATGGGTGGTGCGGTGGTGGTGTGTGAGCGTCTTTGCGTGTGTCTTGGGTGCGTGGAGAGTGAGGGTTGTGTCGACCGAAGCTGGAATAACGACGAGCCTACCATGAGTCTTGCCATGGTGGTACTACAGGCACTTGGATATGGAATACCTGTGGTGGGTAAATGGTAATTGGAGGTGGCCTTGGGTGTGAACCCCGGAGAGGTGGAGCCTGGGTGGAGGTGTCTTTGTGGTGGCACGGTAAATGGAAACCCCGATGAAGACATTTCGGCTTGGTCACCCTAAGGACTTACTAGTACTCGATTCACCGGAATCCTTTACATCCCACTCGCCCTATATGGTGCGGGACGGTCGGACTACTTGGTAGAGCGATGCCACTAATGCTAGGCGAACGTGTGCAAGGGAGGTACGGGGTGCGCGGTTTTCCCCCCACACCCTTCCGAGACTTCAGGAGGCCTTGTGGACCGGCTCTTGACATCCGGCGGGCCCGGCTCTGCTTCACGACTCACGATGATCAGCCATCCAGACTAGACTTGGGATGTTCGAGGGTGAGAGGTAGGGTGGCATCGTTCTAGGCTAGCAAGCGGCCGGAATATGCCTAGACGGGGCACCGTCGAGGATGGCTATCTTGTGGGTATGTGAAACCTCTGCAGAGTGTATGGTTGATCGATCGATACATATGTCGACTTGTCGGCTATGGACCTTTCCTGGGTTTCGCTTAAACTAGATAGGAGATGAGTCCTTCTATTCTCCCTCCATGGTTTGGGGTATTTTTCGGTCGTGAGCCTTGGGGTCATGGGCCGTTGAGACAAGGCCGAGAGGAGTTGGCTGTCGGCCGGGAGTGTGTGAGGTGAGATAAGGTGTGTGGTGTGGAGATGGTTTGGGATGGATGGTTGGAGGATGGATATGGATGGATATGGATGTGTGTGGGCTGGGGAATGTGTTAAAATCGGACATTATTATTACATTACCACTCTGTTACTTACTTCTCATGCGCTAAGGATGCAAACCACATACCAAATGTTAGGATCACCGGATCCTCTTGTTTTATCTTTTCCACTAAAGTTCATCGGTCTTCGACCATGGCTCGCACACATCCGCGGTGTGTGATTTCGCTTCTCGGATATCTTCGACTATAGAAGGATTAGAAGGTCTCGTGCTCACGCTCAAGTTTGGTTCGGAGGTGGAATCTCACGCCTGCACCACGTCAACTCGATAATGACCCGTGAAGGAGAAGCCTTCACTCGATAGTCTTCCGCTAGATTAACTCTGTAATAGGTGTATTCCCCAGTAATGTAATATCTTGTATTCTTGTAATCTTACGATGTATGACTGTGATATCGACTGATATATGATAATATGATGGAATCAACTATTGGTTTCATCATATTATAATTCATTCTGTGGATTTTCTCTTCGCGGAAAATTGAGGATGTTTCACTTAGCCTCCATGTTAAGGCGTTTCAGGCGGTGATAGCGTGGTGGGAGGATGTCATCGACAGTGAGGTTATAGGATATTGGCAAACGCCGAGGAAGATCACGCCATCGCTTCGATAGGATGGTGGTTGTTATTGTTGAGCGTATGTCCAGCTTGTCAATAATCAAGATGAGTAACTCGTCAGGTAAGCTGCTGATCCTGTCCTCATGACTGGTGCATCGTCTCTCTCCCATGCGCACCTGAAATTTTGTTTTGGTATAAGGAACATGGAAAAAAGTAAAGCACAAAATTTCATATCAATACATGAGTCCCATATTTTCCTGTTTCCAGGTACACTCTAAACGATAACAGGATCAAGGTCGTGCATAACAGATGTCCCAATTGACCAATTTTAACACATAGTGACACTATACTAGCAAGTAGCAACCTTGCAGTTAAACAGAAAATGTTTTGTATAAAACAAAAAACTGAAAATGAACATGAGCTTACATTGTGTCTGTTCACAATCCCGCAGTGACGGGCAAGGTAGCAATGAAATAAAAAAAAAGACTTATAAAAAAAGACTTATAAAAAAAAAATGAAAAAGTGTCATGCCTGCTGGCTGATTATTCCACGAATCTAAAACATCATGCATGACCTACGAACACATAGTTGAAGACACGCAAAACGTGGACGAGGCCAGGAAGAGGGGGGCGACTGGCGAGGGAGTACCCGTTTAGAGGGCGCGGCGGCGCTGACGGCGGAGAGGTCAGAGGCCTTCCGGATCCGGCGGTAGCGGCAAGGAGGCGCCTCCGCGGCCATCGGAATCGAGCGGTGTGGCTGCGCCGCTGCGGCTGCTCATGTCGATGCTGAGGAGGCGGCGGCGATGATCGTTGTCAGGGCTCGAACTCGGCACGTGCCCAGTGGGCCCTTATTCAACTCCAAGACGACGAACTCCACTTTCCCCCACCTGCAAAAGCCCATCCAGCCCACCGGCCCAGGCCCACAACCTCGTCGTCGAAAAGGAAAATTCCAAACGGTACCAAACCCCTCGCCGCGCGATTGTAAATAACGCGCTCGCTCTCTCTCCACTCGTTTCCCTCGCTCCCCTTTTCATTCTTTCTTTTTTTCCCCACGGTTGCGGGCGGCTCCACCTCTGCCCTCACACTTACCATACACCACCCCACCCCCCGCTCCGCCTCGTTAGGGTTTCTCTGGGTTTTTGGACCGCGCCGCCACGCTCCCCGCGTCCGCCGGATCGACACCATGGCCGCCGTCGCGCCCGCTGCCGTACGTATCCTTGAGAACCCTTTGCAGCTCCACCCTTCCCCTGATTTGGTTGCGTTTTTTTTTGGGGCGATTTTCCGAAGGTTTTGGTGCCTTTTTTGGACCAGCGAATAGCTTGGTTTCTTAGCCGCAGGCGATTTGTTGGTGAAAGCACAGGATTATGGACTTTTTTTTTGTCGTTTCGTGTTGATTACAAGCGCCGACTGTGGAGTGTGTGGTGTTCTAGTTTTTGTTGTGAATTTTGTTCTGCGCTGCTGTTCCTCGATCCTAGTTTAACTCTGCGGTTTAGAATTCCCTGCTGAATCCGTGATCTTCTGGTCTGTGTATTTGGAAGCTCCTGGATCAGAGTTTTCCCTTGACTTGATTTGCTCCAGATGTTGCGGATTTACTGCAGACGCTGTCCCTGGTGGATCCCAAGAGCAAAGGCGGCAAGGGCCCAGAGACGAAGGACAAGGTATGTTCCGCTTGCCTCCCCGTGCAATTCCAGCGGCAGCAGCCCTCCAGAGTCTAAGTTTTGAATCTTTTCTGCAGGGGTCGGGAGGGCTGAATGGTGTGCCCAAGGGTGAGGTGGTGTCTCTGAACCCTCCAGCGTCCTCAGCGGAGCCATGGGCGCAGCAGGATTACAAGGATGCTGCCATGTACTATGGTGCCTACCCTGGAGCTTACTACTGTGGAGGTGAAGCAGTGCTGTTTATTAGTCTGTTAATATACCTGTTTCTAGTGGATTAGCAGTAGAAACTGCAACTGTGTAGTTACATGTTGATCCCGAACTCAGAGCACTTGCCTTTAACTCTGTCTTAGGTTGGGGTGATTATTCCGTCTACGTGAGCCAGGATGGAGGGGATGCACTTTCCCCTGTGAGTACTCATCCCCTTCTTCACATCTCATTAAGCTTGTAGTCACTCATCTCCATAGTTCAATACATTGTCCACCCCATTAGTTGGACACAGCAAATGAAAGTCATGCTCACAATTTTAGTCTGTACAAAGTGTACTTGGATTAATTGGTCTTGTTTGTTTCTCCTCAGGGTGTTTATGGGGACATGTATTGCTATCCTCATTATGGTATTGCTGATGGTCAGATTTATGGATCACAGCATTACCAGTACCCATCCACATACTACCAGCCAAAGACTACTGCCAGCAAACCAGTATACAAGGCTAAAACTGGCAAATCATCTCCTTCGATACAAGAAGATGTTTCTACTGCGACTGCTGCTGATAAGCAGCCTGTCTTGTTGGATTCCTCCAAAACCACTCTGAAAAGCATTGATGATGTAAAAGGTCTGAAGAAGGAAACGTTGCCTCTGAAACCAAATGGCCGTTTTGGTAATTACCAGAATCAAGGTAGCAAAACGGCTTACCCATGGTCTGGTGGCCGTACCTCTTCAGAAAAGCATCCGAAATTCTCGGGTGGGAATCCTACATCGACAGTCTCTAATAATAATAAGGTATAGTCAGAATATGAAAGTGCATGGACTTTGTCATCTATTATTGAGCTTACTCCACAAATTGTGTTACTTACTGAATAGTGAATACTGATCGTTGATAATGATCCATGTACCACATAACTTTATTAAATTTCTGTTCTGTCTAGACCTAATGATCAGTATCTGGGAAAGAAAGATAGATAAACCAGCACTACAATTTTTTGCGTTATAATCAAGTTATTGATAGGTTTTGTGTTATTTTGGGGCAATGTAAGCTATGTTCAGTTGCATTTTTAAGTGAAATGTACATACCCTGCATACTTTCTTAGTTTGCTGTATGGGCATCAACTGCTTCTGAACATGGGCATTCTTGCAGGGCTTGCATGGTCAGAACTCTTCGATGGGGCTGCCATCTGCTGGGTTCATGAGTTCAATGTACTCTGGTAGTGGAATGTACAACACAAACACTTATGCACCTAGCTTTTGGTATGGTTCTCATGTCTATGGTCCTGGGCTGTATGGTGGGTGGAATGCGTTTTCGAATGGGAAGTACAGGCCAAGAGGAAAAACCTACGGATCTTATGGTTTTGGCAATGGAAACTTGGATGGTTTGGATGAGTTGAAGCGTGGACCAAGAAGTAGTCTGTTTAAAAGCCAACAGGGTTCTGGAGCAGCTGTTGATGCAAAAGGACAGGAGCCTCCCAGCAGTGATGCCTCTAATGCTGTTAAGCAGGAACAGTACAACCTTGCTGATTTTGGTGAGACCTACTCAGATGCCAAAATTTTTATTATTAAATCATACAGTGAGGATGATGTTCACAAGAGCATTAAGTACAATGTTTGGGCAAGCACCCCTAGTGGAAATAAAAAGCTGGATGCTGCTTATCAAGAGGCTAAGGAAAAATCAAGCAGTTGTCCTGTGTTCCTGTTGTTTTCTGTAAGTCTGATCCTTATCCTCTATTAAGAGCCTTTTTCCCCCTTCTGTGAACCTGTGTGTAAGGTTGGATGTTGATGTTACTTGTCTTCCTCGATTTTCCAGGTTAACACCAGCGGACAGTTTGTTGGTCTGGCTGAGATGGTGGGTCGGGTTGATTTTAACAAGACAGTTGAATACTGGCAGCAGGACAAGTGGACTGGTTGCTTCCCTGTCAAGTGGCACATTGTGAAGGACATTCCTAACAGCTCGTTGAAGCACATCATTCTTGAGTATAACGAAAACAAACCAGTTACAAACAGCAGAGATACGCAGGAGGTGAGTTAAGTTCCTTTCAGTTTTTCTCTTGTTTTGTCAGTTTTCTCCACTGATTGTTGATGGTAACACATTGTAGCAGAAATTCTTGATATGCATGAATCAGGAAGCCAGTACTCTTTTAATGTTGCGGTAGCTAAGTTTTCCCATACTTTTTCATGGTGTCTGCAGGTTAAGCTTGACCAAGGCCTTCAGGTTTTAAAGATTTTCAAGGATCATGTCTGCAAGACATCCATCTTGGATGACTTTAGCTTTTATGATGACCGTGAAAAGATAATGCAGGAGAAGAAATCAAAGCGTCAGCATCCAGTTGAGGTGTGTGAGTGACTACCAATCTACTTCATGTAATGAGCCCTCTTCTACTGCAGTTGTATGAATGCTAGCACTTGCAGTTTCCCTTGTTAACCTGAGAACTATGAAAATCTAGCTTATGTTCCCTAATATTTCCTTTGAACATGTACAAGTTCATAGCCTTGTTGCTGCGGGTTATATGCAGCAATGGAGGTTCTGTAGAATTGGTTTGAGCATTTTTCCTATTATAAGCTCATGTGGATTGGCAATTTGGCACTATTCAGCCCGTTTCATGGTATCCATCAGTAGCGTTTGCCCATATTTGGATGTTGAGAAACTATTTCAACTGCCATTTTCACCCTGCAGGTCATGAATAGAAAGTTGGCAGCCACCAACATTGCTGAAAATCAAGCTACTGATGGGAAGGAGAGCCTGCAGAAACCTGAGGCCATAGGGGAACAAAACGCTGTGGTGGAGAATAGTGTGGAGGCAGTAGCTGTTAATGGTGTCGCCCCAGAAGACATTAAGCCAACAACTGAAGAGGCGGCCGTTGCAAATGGCTGTTAATTTTCACTGCATGCCATCAGCTATTGGAGCCTGGTCCAAGGAGACACCTTTTGTGCCGCAGAAGCTGCTGGTGTTCAAGTCATTCAAGATTCTGCTATGTTTTTTTTTCTCTTTGTTTTTCCTTTGCAATGCTGCTTGATTGCAGAAGGGTGCAGTCTACGGCGATTCTGTATCCTGCTAGGTTTCTCGTGTTGGTTTCTCGAATGTACCATTTTCACAGTGGTTGGTTGCATTGTCATCTAAGGTGGTTAGATAGATATTAGCTGTTCTTATTCCAGAGTTTTGTCCTGTCTTTCGTTTGGAGTTGTACCTAGGTGTGGAGATGTGAAAGGCCCTGGTTCGTGGGCTCATGGCATTGGGTTAGATGAACTGAATTGGAGCTCCAATTCAAACACATGTGGAAATAGAAATGAGGTCCAGTTGTGGATTTTGAAGCGAATGTTAATGGTTTTGATCTTTTGGGCTAGGTGTTATCTGAATTTTGGAAACACCGATCTTTTTCTGTCATATACATGTTACAGCGCGTTGGCCTTGGTTTAGGTTACTTCCAGTTCTCTGTTGCTTTGCCAATTTCCTCCATAGCCTGCAAACTGTTGATGGTCACGTAGTGAAATGGGCTTTGAACCAGTATCCATATTCGATTCTGGCACGTTGTCGTGTATCGATATTAGGGATATCTAAAGTAAGGAAGTTAGAGTTCATGCTGACTTCTCCGAATAGCTCGAGACGTATTAAAATGTCGTGTCCTACCCCAAGGCCGCGGGCTTCGTCTCGCCGGACCTCAAGGCCACGGGCTCTGTCTCGCCCGACCTCGAGGCCGCGGCTACGTCTTGTCCGACTCCTTGGGTGTGGGTTCCGTCTCGCCCGACCCCAAGGACGTTGTTCCGTCTCGCCCGACCCAAGGTCCGCGGGCTCGTCTCTCCGACCTCGAGGAGGCCGCGGGCTCCATCTCGTCCGACCCCCTTGGGTGCGGGCCGCCTCGCCTGACCCCTTGGGGCGCGGGCTCGTCTCGCCTAACCCCTTGGGTGCGAGCTCCGTCTCGCCTGACCTCGGGCGCGGCTCCGTCTCGTCCGACCCCTTGGGCGGGCCCGTCTCGCCTGACCCCTTGGGTGCGGGCTCGTCTCGCCAAACCCCAAGGACGCGGTTTTCCGTCTCGCCAAGGTCGCGGTCTCCGTCTCGTCCGACGGAGACCCATCGCCGCTTAACCACTCTGGTCCAAGCGTATGAGCTCAGGTCAAAACTCGACGCGCCAGAGAAGAGGTCGCACACCTCGATGTAACCTGTGGCCATGACGGGCCATACACGGGATTCACATCAAGAAGCGTGGCCGGACGTGCGGTCTTTGCTCGCCTAACCTTCAGACGGACGCCGATAGGCGCGCGTCGATTCACCACGATGTCCGCTGGGATGGAGTGGAACGCCATGACCGGTAGATGACGCCTGCGCATGGCGCCAGTGACGAACATGGCCGCGACATGGGGCCGTCCTTGTTGACATCTACAGGATCGGGTGATTGACGCATGAAGAGAAGAAGAAGGACCCGGCGACCCTAGAAGCCTTCTTCTTCTCTCTCGTTCTTCTCCTTTTCCTCCTCTGTAACTCGCGCTTTCCCTTCGCCTATAAAAGGGGAAGCAGGGCGCCCCATTAAGGGGAGCGAGATCTCGACACAGGAGAGATCTTAACACATGAGCACGACACGAGCACACGGCTGAACGGCAATCGAGCTCTCAGCACCCGTTCACTCCTTCCACCAGAGACTTGGGATCCTTTCCCTCTCTCGTCTATTTGTAACCCCTACTACAAATCAAGTGCCGGTAACACGAGCATCAGCGAACTAGACGTAGGGACGTTCCGCCCGAATCAGTATAAACCCTTGTGTCCTCCGAGCACACTATTCGAGCTAGACGCACAAATATAAATTTACTCGTCGATGGTCCGAAAACACCAACACATGTATACATGCTGTTGAAATTGCTGCCATGCCAATATTAAGAGAGATCACTTCAGGGTTTAGTGCTTTACTTATGACAAGATGAATAATACGTTAGGGACTCTCTAGTGGCGAGCTGGTATTGGCCATGAGCCAACACGGACAGCCCATGGAGGGCCCAAGCCGGCAATTTATTTATATATTCTAATATATTAAGGCAGTTTCCTTTGGCCGCCTCTCAGGCTATCCACGTCACTCCTTCGTTTACAGCCGTTGGATCTTCGATCGTGTGGTCATGGTTGTCTGGAGCAGATTCGCCCGGGAGCAGCTTCTGCCGCTGTGGCTTCGCTTCCACAGCTTTCCCTTACCTTGTCTCGTTGTTGTGTGCCTTCTGCTCCGGAGCAGGCCCATCAAAAATATACGCCGGCTTCCGATTATGTCTTCCCGATCCTTCCACCGCTCCCTCTCGCGTCCGCATCCGCGCCTCTTCCCTCTCCCTCATCTCTCACGGCGGCGGCTACGGCAGACGCAGGTGAAGGTGGCCTCTCTCCTTGCTCCTCCTCTCTTTCCCTCGCCGGTGGGCAGCGTCGATCTGTGCGATCTGTGCTTGTTGCCTTCTTTGCTGGGTCGATCCGGGGCCTCCATGGCCGGATCCGGTCGTTCCCCTAAGTCTGTGTAGAGCACCAAGCGTGAAGCTTTGGGGGCCTCCATGACCGGATCAGTCCTCCCGCGCCTATGGCCGTCCCTTTCAGGTTTTGGTTACCATTGTTGCTCGCCCCTTCTTTCTGCGTCGTGCTTCTCGGCTTCCCCAGCCGCTGCTCGGTCCTCCTTGCTATGGCTGCGTTTTTCCTTGTGCCTTTGGTTCTTCCTGCATTCCGCCTTATTGACCGCCGTGTTCCTCCCTCTGCTCGTGGATTGGCGTTTGTTAGGGTTAGGCGCTACAGTACACGTCGCCACCGGCCCGCGCCGTCTTCCGTGTCTCAACCGCAACCTTCCTATGCTTGCCGTTCTGTTCTTTGCCATCCGGTTTGCTTCCTTTTAATTTTCGGCTTTAATCTTTGGTTTCTCGGCGGCCGCCCCTTTTGCCTTTCATGCTCCGCCTGCGCGGCTCGATTTAGTGCTGTTTTAACCTTTGCCTTCGTTTGCAGGCTCCTCGACGGCCCGCCGGTTTGCCGTCTTGCCGACGTCAGCATATTATGTAGGTAATTTGTTCCTGCTCCGGCTCTGCGCCCCCACGTTTGCCAGCTTCAAGATTTCTTTGCTTCCGTCCTGCTGATTCGTTTGGTTGCAATGTCTGTAGCCACGTCTGGACCATCCGCCACCACATTGCAGCCACATAGAAATTGTGTTCCTGCTGGTCCACTGCATGCCAATTTTTCCCCTTCAATATTGTATTTTCTATTACCTGAGTTGAAGTCTCTTTGTTTGTTCGAAACAGTAACTGGAGCAGCTCTATCCATTAGTTAAAATGGTTATAGGTACCAGCCTGATATATTACTGTGCCTACAGATTCAAGCCTGCTCATGCATCAACACATTGCATTTTGCTGTCATGGTTAGCTCAAAAGAAAAGATGTTGTCCTTATTTTCAGACAATCCCCTAAACCTGCAGTTAAAAAACTCTTTTTATCTTCCTTCATGCATCGTGATATTATTTTCCCCCTAATGATTGAAATTTTTTAATTTCTAACTCTGTCTAATATGTCATATGCGCAAGGTGATATTATTTTCCCTCTAATGAAATGAATGCTGCACATGGCTGCTCAGTGGTGTACCTCTTTCTGTAGCACAAGATAGTATGGCTACTGCATATCCAGTCCTTCAGGTAATAAACCGCACCCTTGTATATTGATGGTCTTTCTCAATATTTTTTTTCTCCTCACTCCATTATTGCAGCCTTTATTTTCCTATTGCAATATATTTCTCAACCAATTGATGTATTATATCTGTTCAAAAGGGATCAACGACTTTGCCGGTCGCTACCAATCGTACTATCAGAGTGGACAAGCAACATCTCATTTTTGAGGATTGAGGTGACACCTAATTTTCATAGAGCTAATTTTATACAAAAGTTCAATAAGACTGAAGCTCATTTGTCTTTATTGTCTTTATATTCAGTTCGTTCAATGGATTGTAGTGTACAACACTGATAGAATTTCATGGGGGTGACCTGATCTTGATGGGGCTACTCATTTTTTCGACTCTTTAATTTGTGGCTGCGTTAATAAAATGCCAATGGGGCAGTCCATGAACAACAGTTTTTCCTACTACCACATGTTTTGTTATGGTTCGGTCGTCTATTGTTTATGTTTTTTCTGTGCGTGACTTAATTTGAATCTTTCATGTACCTATGTATGCCTTTTACCACCTTGGCAAATGGTAGAAAGCAAACTACACATGAGGTGGTTCAGGTTCTGTTCTTTTGGTGAGCTTGCGGCTCAGGCAGTTTTCCCAGTCCGATATTTGTGCTGTTTTAGTAGGTTTCCTTGGTCTGTTATTACTTCTGTGCTTAGTGCATTGATTCTCGAGAAAAAAAAACTGTTACATGGTTTGGATGGTCTCTTAAAACTATTGGTGGTCTATTGGAACTATTGCATGTTGTTATGTTAGTATAGTAATTTACAGGCTACAGTCAAGGGCTGATGGATAGATCCGTTTATTTTCCTTCCTTTCCCCTTTTTTTAGGCATTCTATTTTCCCTTGTTTAATTTTCTTTTAAGCAATTTTTCCTCCTGGTATCCCATGCTAAAACTGCTGCTGTCCCTTCCCTCCTCCCCTTCCCCTTCTAAATTTCATGGATGGTAAAGTAGCACATTTTGAAAAGCTATTTATAGTTGGACTAAAATAATATAGAACTACGAGCAAAGATGGCTTAATTCCTTCCCTCCTCCCCTTCCCATCTTGAATTTTCTGGATCAAGCTAAAGTAGTACATTTTGAGAAGCTATTTATAGTTAAACTAAAATAATATATAACTACAAGCAAAGATGCCTTAATCTTGGTTTATATATGCCATAGCCCTTTTTAGTAATATAATATGTTCATGACAGGGTTCCATCCCGTCTACATCAATTTGCTTGTGTCAGATAGTTTAGTTAATGTATTAGAGCATAATCCCCAAAGATCTGCTCTACATTTTAGCCAGCCAGCTTACCTTCTTAGTTAGTTGTTTTCTACTTAGAGTGCCAACTTGCATTACAGGATTGCAACTTGATTTTGATTGCTCCCTCTTTCTGAATTTCCTTCCTGGGTTGCCAATTTACGTAATTACTAATCATTTCCAAGTAATATTTATAAGCATAGGTGGATGATGACGCAATGAAACAATTTACTTAACCCGCTTCATGGGTTCTGCCACAATTCTAGTGCTGCTTGTTTCGTCAACGATCAGGTAAAATTGAACTATCTAAATATTTTAGTCACCTTGTATGAAGAAAAGTATATTGACATGTTTTGTTGCCACCTTTCCTGTGAAATCTCTGTTACATTGTCACATTTCAAGCATGCCCTATATTCCTTAAAGATTTCACAGTTCTCAGTAATGATAAACTATCCACGTGCTATACAGATTAAGGGGGGCATATTTCAGAAACTCTAGAGACTGCCACATGGCTGTCCTCCTAGTTTAGATGATGATCATTTGAGTTTCCTTAACCACTGAAATAGGATATAGTGGATAGTGAAAAACTATAGATTCTAAAACACAGCAATTGATACTTTGAGATGTTTAGAATGGTGGGAAGAAGCCACAGGAATCTGAGCAAGCATAGCAAGAGAGTGAGAGCAAAGATTCTTTCCCTTGGGTTGGAGTGGAGTTTTTATTTTCTATGTTTTGTGCTGCTATGATTTGTTTTCCTTTGGAATGGAACTCAAATTTGCTTAAATGTGTGAGCATTGTTACTCTCCAAGATTTCAGAATTTCATAATAGGCTCCATTCCGGTGCGAAATTCAGATATGTGTATGATTTAGAAATGTCTTTTCTATGATTACCACACATAGAAAATGCCATGATTTCAAAAGTATGCAGAGTAGATGTGTCCTGCACCATATAAAAAGGCTCTAATCTTTCGGTTTCTGTGCATGAAATATCTACATTAAACTCCTAATATTGTTTCCATGCAAAGATTAAACATATTTTTCACCTGCGCCTTAACCAAGTGATTTGCCAGCGCGCGTGAGGGCACGCGTAATGGACTAGTTAACAATACAATCACAAGATTCACCTCGGCAGGGCAGCTAGGCCACGTGACTCGTAAACTTCAGCCACACGTTACTCCTCAAATATCTCCGGCCTCAGGGGAAAAAACGCTCCCTGACCTCCCACTCCCACGCCGTTGCGCCTCTACCTCCCTCCATGCCACCGCTGCCGTCGCAGCTGCTCCCATCGCCTCCCCTTCCTCTCTCCCTCACCCTCTCTCTCCCGAGGTGGCGGCGCTGCGGCAGGCCCCGAATGCGGCGGCCTCCATGCGCTGCGCGTGGCCGTGGGCCTCGGCACCAGGCGAGCCTAGCTCGGCATGGCACGCCTCTCTCTCTCTCCCCCTCTCCCGGTGTGCCGGCGCACCGTCCGAGCCCGCCGCGCTGGCCGTCCTCCGTCGAGGTGGCGCGCCGCGGCGGCGCAGCACGGCACGGGCGGCCCCCTCCCCTCTCCCTCCATCTCGATCTACTACCAGGCCGTGGCACGACCGGTGCAGGGCAGGGTAGAGGCATGGCCTTGCAGGCCGATCGTCCTCATCTTCCCCCCTCTCCCTCTCTCCTGCTGTGGCCGCTCATGGTGGCCGTGCCCAGTGCAGGTGGGTCTCGGCGGTGCCACGGTTGGCACATAGCAGTCTCAGGTGCTCCCGTTTCCTCTTGTATTTTGGGATTTTGCTTTTGCCTCTCTGATTCATCCCTTCGATGACTTTGATTCGTGTTCTAGGGTTTGGCCTAGAATGCTTGTTGTTCCAATGTTTGCCTTCTCTGTGTTCATCTGTGGGAGGACGGCACCAATTGGCAATGACACTACTTATCTCAAAGATGAAAAAGTCTCCATTGATGAGATCAAATTAACACCTCTAGAGCTTTCTGAACTGATAGCATCCATTAAGAATGGAACTATAAGTGCAAAGATCAGCAAGGAGGTAACATTGCTACAGTGGGGGTTCCCCTGTTGCTGTTTTTTTGGCTCTATGTTTTGGCATAGTCATAAGGGTCTACACACTTCTAGGCTTTGCACCCTGATCAATCATAATGCCTCTCTAAATTTGTCCCTGCAGATATTGGCCAAGCTCATTGCCAAAGGCGGAACAGTTAAGGTGTGATAGAAGAGAAAGATTTGGTTCAGGTAACTGTGCTCATATTTGTTACTATTTGGAGCCATAGTAGTTCAAGCATCTATATCTATCTAAAAAATATTGTGACTCCTGCCACCAGTGTGAGGTGTTACACAAATATATCTAGCATCCTTCGGCATTGCCAAGACATGTTTTTTCCTTTGGGTACTCCTGTTAACGCAGATGCTCAAAAATTAGGACAATATTAGCATGCCCTCTTTATTCCATCAGTGTTGGTAGTTTGTAATTTGCATCTTATACTTTCATGAGTACTCGACGTATTGTTGTGCTCTCAGTTGGTGCAGTTTCATTATTTTAGCTTCTGGCTGGGTTGTCTGAAAGGCAAAAAATTATTGCTTGAAATGATAGAGAGCAGATCCAGCAGTAATCGAGCCAATGGTAGATAAAGTAATATGCTAGCTCGTTGTCACTGTTGCAAAGGCTCTGTAATCCCTCCAAATCGTCCACGCTACCCACATTGCTGAGGTTTTGGGGTGATTTGGCTGAGGTTTAACGGGCAACGTGGCCACGCTGAGCGATTTTGGGGTGACGTGGCCCATCTCCTCTGTTGTGCTGAATCGTGTAAGTGTACAGGCGATTTTGGGGTGGCGTGCTCCAGCTCCCCTACCACGGTGAACCTTGTGATTGTAGAGGGAGATTGGTTATGATCTGATGTTCTCAGTGTTTGCCATTTGCTATTTTTCCCCTTCTTGAGCCTGTGATGAAAATTCCATATCCATTGCTCAATGATATAATCTGATGTTCATTCGCTAGTGAGGTACTGGGCATGGCTGCTACTTATATTATGCAGTTTCAGAGGGTAAACCAGTTGTCAGCATGCCTTGAACCTCCAAGTTGATGAACAAATGATGATTGCTATGCTTCTGAGGCCTCCAAAAATCCTGTCTTCATTCAAAAAAGATTCTTAGCTTCTTCATTGTTACTGCCATTGTTATTTTATAGGTTTATTGTGAGGAAGCGATCTCCCTCTATAATCACAAGATTCACCGCGGTAGGAGAAATGGGCCACGTCACCCCAAAATCGCTCAGCGTGGCTACACCACCCGTTAAACCTCAGCCACTCATTCCCTTCCACTCTCGCCGTAAATATGATGTTGCCAAAGGGCTTCAGGAACTTATCACCCTATACGGAGTGACTTCGCACCTTCTTTGCCTATGTTTTAATCCATGTCTATTGTGCTGCTGCAGCCATCTTCTCATCAGTATATACAAGTGTGTGCCTATGGTGCTGCTTATTTTAGTCTGACCATATGCCATTGCTGATGATGTACCTATTACAGTTTGACAATATGATGATACCTATGAGGTGCTTCGCACATCCACGGCACTCATCGCCTGCAACGTCACCGAGGCGTCTACCACAACAGCTTCAACGATAGCAAAGGTTGCAGTCACCACCAGCGCCCAATCCACCTCCATCGTCAACACCAGCTACGTCGACCATGCCATGGCCGCGTTCCAGCCTTCTGTGGTGGTGCTCCATGCTCACACTGCTGGCCGAGGCGCTACGCTGTCCGCGTGGGTTGCGACAATAGCTCTTGCAAGTACGTCTTCGTCTGTTCCAACAAGTGGTCACAAGTTGTTCAGCGGACCGCTCAACAGGTATATCACCATGCTTTTCCCTACTCCTTTGTTGGATGTTCTGTTGTTGGATTGCACTGCCACTATGCATGGGGAACATCAGAGATCTCAGAAGATGGCTGAATCGAGTACAGTGATGTTGTGGCCACCTTTGATTCATCAACATGGCATATTCACTTATGGTTTGGGAAATGATGTGAAACTGAGGTCACCTTTGCTTCCACCTCGATCATTATCTCTGCAGTTTGAGATCCAGGGTACTGGAGTTCAACTCAGACCAACCCCTTGGCTATCTTTTTATAGTTATGCAGCTCTAGTGCAATGGATAAAATCTCTGGTTGCAGCTGATGACATACTGCCAAAGCATCCTTGGGTGTCATTTGCTACAGGCACCTTGTTCACAGTTGGTTACAACTGCAGTAACCCACGTAATTCATTACAGTATGCATGGCAACTACTACTTGATGGGGGAATATATACCACAGCTGCTGATGTTGGTGCTGATCTAGTTGGAAAAGTCGAAAGGAATATCCCTGAAGATGATCTGAGAAAACCAGCTGTCATTGCAGACAATGTTGGTGACAATGTTGGAGATATTGCCGGAATGGGGTATGGTGCTGCTGTGGCTGCTCTGGGAATGCTCAGCACTATCGCTACTGTCAGTGACAATGCTGGAGGAATTGATGAAATGGCTGGCATGAGCCACAAAATTTGTGGGAGAACTGATGCTCTTGATGCTGCTGGAAACACTCCTGCTACAATTGGGAAGGGTTTTGCAATTGGTTCAGCAGCCTTGGTGTCTCTTGCCCTCTTTGGTGCTTTTGTCAGCCGTGTTGCGATCTCGACTGTTGATGTCCTGACACCTAAAGTTTTCATTGGACTGATTGTTGGTGCCATGCTTCCATACTGGTTCTCAGTGATGACAATGAAGAGTGTTGGCAGTGCAGCACTCAAGATGGTTGAGGAACTTTACAGACAGTTGAACACTATACCTGGGCTCATGGAAGGTACTACCAAACCTGACTATGCGACGTGCGTCAAGGTCTCTACTGATGCATCTGTCAAGGAGATGATTTCCCTTGGTGGCCATGACTGAATTGGTTTCTCTGCATTGGCCTGAGGGCAAGCCAAAATTAAAGGAGGGGGTGTTAGGTACTCTCTAGTGGCGAGCTGGTATTGGCCATGGGCCAACACGGACAGCCCATGGAGGGCCCAAGGCGGCAATAGGCAAACAATACAAAGGAAGGAAGGCAGCAGATGGGGAAGGCATCGGATGAATTATCAGAAGAGTCTTCTCCTACATCTGTTCCTCGTCTCCCTCCTCTGGCCTCTCTCTCTAGGTCTAGAGCTCTATCTCCCTTGCCTAGTTCAATTCCTCCTTTCTCCACCTAGATTGCTATGCTAAGCTCGAGACCTCCCTTCCCCTGAGGTCATGTAATCTGATTGTATCCGAATCAAGTTAATCTATGATCTATTCCAGAAGGACGTGCTAACATAATCAAATTCATTCAAAAGCGCAGCAAAAAGAGTCAAAGACAGATAATGCAATTTATATCAGTATATCATAGTTTCACAGCAACAATACATCAGGCATTACAATTTACAACCTTTGTTGGGAAGGACAAGTTAGTTTTACATGCACACAACGGTAGAAGTATACTCCAAAGTCACGCACACAGCACCGGCGATTCTTAGGCAGCTACATCTTGGTGAACCATGGGTGCTTGAGCGCGGCAGCTGCCGTGAGCCGTTTGTCGGGGTTGCAAGTGAGCAGGCCGCTGAGTACCTGGAATCCTTTCTCGGACAGCTTCGTCTTGGGGAACACCTCGCGCAGTAGGTTGCGTCGCTTCACGTATATCACCTGGACCTGGGTGGCGAACGGTGTGGACGAGAACCACGGCCACGTCGTTTCATCTGGCACGCCGAGGACGTCGAAGATGGCGGCGAGCTGGCCTGCTGCATTAGTGTGCACGAACAGAGGGGACCCATTGATGAGCTCCGCCATCACGCAGCCCAGCGACCAGGTGTCAACGAGGGCGTCGTAGTCGGGCTTCCCCAACAACATCTCGGGCGCCATGTACCACAGCGTGCCGGCGGGCTCGTACGGCGGCGACGCGTCCATGCGCATGGCGAGCCCAAAGTCGCAGATTGACGGTGATGTCGTCGTCGCTGACGAGGATGTTTGCGGTCTTGATGTCCCGGTGGACGACGTGGGCGTCGTGCATCTTCTTGGCTCCCGTGAGCAGCTGCCACATGACCGTGCGCACGATCGCCTCGGGTGGCGGCGGCATCCCAGCGCAGCGGTGCTGGTGGAGGAGGTCGTGGAGGCTCGGGCCGACGCACTCCATGACGAGGGAGAGGTCCATGGTGGCCGGGTTGCGGGCGAAGCTGTGGAAGCCGACGACGAACGGGTTGTCACGGCCGCTCTCCTCCAGTAAGCACGCCTCCCGCAGCAGTTTCATCTGGCTGCAGAAGTCCGCGGCGGCGAGGCGCTTGATTGCGACGGTCTGGCCGGTGGAGCGGTGCCGCGCCTTGACGACGATGGCGCCGAAGGCGCCCATCCCGAGGCAGCACGTCTCCTCGTAGTCATCGGTGGTCCCGATGGCGATGCCCGCCCTGTTGTTGCGGGTCGGTAGCACGGCGCTGGGGTCGCGAACGGCGGTGGCTGCTGCCTGTACGCAGGCGGCCATTGGGGCGAAGGAGGATCGCGCGAGGTTGGGGAGAGGCAGCTGGAAGACGGTGGTGAGGATGCGAGCGGCGGCCATTATATACACTGGTAGCGACGAGTTGAATTCGACTGGTCATCGTATCCGACTTGGGCGAGCCGCGGACGCGTACAGGCGAAGCTAATCAATCCTGGTACCTGCGACTGTGAGGCTCCGAAATTCTCTTGTTTTGTCAGTTTTCTCCACTGATCGTTATGGTACGGTGACACGGGATGTAACACATTTTAGCATAATTTTTTTTAATTACACGGTACAACACGGACGTCCACGACACGCACGCACACCGACCCCATATGAACACACGTACGTAAATCCTACCCCTATGAGCATATCCGAAGGACTGAGTCGGCAGATCTCGAGATTCACGAAGTCATCACTGACGCCTCGCTGTCGACGGAGACGTCGCCTACCACTGAAAGTATAGCGCCGTTAAATCCTATAATAAGTCCATGAAAATACAAGTCACTGCTACAAAATCGAGAACTTAACCCGGATATGTAGGTTCTACCACAAGCAGACTAACCAACTCATATGCATGAATCAGGAAGCCAGTAGATCCGTAGTCACCCACCCACCCACCCACTCGCCTCAGCGCCACGCCTCCTTATGCCCGTCCCAGCCCCAGCCGCTGGGCTGCCGGAGGCCGGAGCTCCTGCTGGAGTGCAGCGACGGAAGGTGAGCTCAGGGAGCAGCTCGCATGGCTACAGGTCCACCGTCCACACGATTGCCGGCGTAAGTGCAAGCTCCAGCCACGGCTTCCACGGCCTGTGCCTGGCGCCATCCTCCAAGGCTGCAATGTCTCTTAACAAAAGCATTCTGAAGATTTGAGGTGATTGCAATACTGACCGAAGCCTCTTTTTGAGTGCAGTGAGAAACGAGGGCTGGGAAACGATCTGCTAATGTGTCGTCGCCAACCCAGACATCATTCCCGAACGAAGTTGATTTTCCATTTCCTAATGTCACAGTTGTGATAGCCTGATAAAGTGACAGTAAAGTCCTCAGCATTTTCCAATGATGTCCTCGCAGGTCCCTCTTTAAGGTTGCCAGGTTTGCCCGCTGCCTGATCCAAAGCGCCAGGTTGAGGAGGTAGCGCAGTGCAGGCGATGAATCAACTTGAGCAGAAGACTGATGATGTGTGTCCCAAGGTCTTTGATTCCCAATCCACCTAGCTCCTTTGTTGCGGAGACAATTTGCCATGCCACAAGGCACTTGGAGGATGAGGTGTTTGGTTCTCCAGTCCACAAGAAAGCCCGTCGAAGTTTGTCGATCTGTTGCAACACCCCCGGAGGCACTTGCATGGATGACATGACATATATAAGCTTACTGTCAAGAACTGAGTTAATGAGTACGACCCTTCCCATAGTATTGAGGAGACTAGGTTGCCAAGTTGAGAGTGATTTCTCAATTCTTTCAATGTAGGTCCTGTTCTTCCCCATTCTTGCTCTTTCCCTGTCTCAATTCCCTTCCAGCTACCTTTATTCATAACAGGCAGTCAACTGTCCATATAGCCATATGATAAATAAGATCAATTATTCCATTTTACACTTTTAGCTGATCCAAAAAGAGAAAAGACGTGATTTTAATGGATTGGCCATCGCCCATCTACGTCATATGGAACTTGTGGAAGTTACGCAACCGCAGAATTTTCGATAACATATACTCCACAGCCACCCTGGTAGCAGGGCGTGTCAAGGATGACCTGGAGCAATACAGAAGGGCCTTTACACTCTCGCGTCTTTGACAACGTGGGGACTACACGGCAGACCAGGCGAGGCGGAGGGTGATGGACGAAGGAGATGAGTGGATCGCCGCTGGGTTCACTGCAATCTCGGCTTTTCTGGTAGTGGTCGTAGAGCCTTAGTGTTGGTCTCTACCTGTTCGTCGCATAGTTTTTTCAAGATGTAGTCTGCTACGCTTTTCTCGTTGGTGCTAGCCTGCTAGGGACCTTGTTCTATCCTGGCATCTCGCCTCGGATAGCTAATATTTGTATTGTGCTACTTTCTTCTCGATGAAATACACGTGAAGTCGTGTTCTAGAGGGGAAAAAAAAAAGAAGGGCCTTTACGCCTACGCAGCACTGACGCACCACTTGTTGATCCTTTGGGCTGTGAGACCATGTAATTTCCTCCCAGGCCGCAAGGCTGTCCTGTACATAAACACTCTTTTACGTTCAAAAAAAAAAACATTGATAGCTGATCAAGCAAATGCAATGCATATATACAGAAGTCATACAGAAATCAACAGTAAATTTATTTGACTCATATAGCTTGTGTACCAAAACTACTTATTACCCTTTTATGTAGTATATTGACACGTCAAAATTCAAAGACAGTTTCTCGATTCTCAATCAGCCATTTCATCCTCTTAATTGATCCTCTGGCTGAAATTTGAATTTGACATCTGTGGCTAGTATAACTCCTGCAGGTTTGCAGCTAAAGGCATTATCTTTGTTCTGTAGAATTCTTCAGGTAGACATTTCTGCAGTTTCTGATGCCTCTCCTATAACAGTGGTTGCGAGAATTAGTATACAGATCTGATAAATTCTGGCCTAAAACAACTGGGCTATTTCTTTTCGAAAAAGAATATCAAGGCGAAGCACCATTTAAGCCACCACTTATTTGCTCTGATAAATTATGACCTCCATTAACAAGTTGTATAGTGAACTCGCTACATCTAATCTCCTTTTCTTCGATTAAATATTCACCTCTTCAATTGCTAAAACAAGTTAAATTTATCCTGCAGACATTTATTCTTATTGTTATAGTACAATTGTAGTTATGGCTATTCACAGTTATTAGCTTTAGTTTTCTAGTGGATTTGCCATTTAACATTATTGAACACCATCAGTAGTGTTTACCCTCGTATGGATGTGGAGAAACTATTTCAACTGCTAATTTTTTGCATCCAGCAGATCATTTTTTTTTTTGAAACTAGGCAACTCCCCATTCCCATTGATAACAACGGAAATACCGGTTCATACAGATAGTTTAGAAAGTTGGTTGCCACCATCAATGCTGACAATCAAGCTACTGATGGGAAGCAGAGTCTGCAGAAACCTGAGGCAATAGGGGAACAAAATGTTGTGGTAGAGAATGGTACACTGGCAGTAACTGCTAGTAGTGTATGTGGCAGAACCGCCTTATCTAATGTCTTCTCAGGAGTACTTGTCTTCCATTACACACTCAGTACCCAAGAGAGTGTACTAAATCGTGCTTTTCCGTCGAGCATACCCCAAGGGAGAACTCGAAAATCCAATTTTTTCCATCAGGATCTTAAATGAGAGAATAAAGCTTACAACATTCTTAATAATTTCTTACATCACTTTATTACAACGTTAAAGTACCTAAACAAGTCGACTGCAATAGCGGAATTAAGACAGTTTTACGTGTAAAAGAGTTTATACATTTTAGGTTTACATTTTTATCTTGCAGTGGAGAACAACATATGATCAGAATTACAGCGAAAATAAAAATTAATGGTGAATCATAAAACTTTTCTTCTATAACTTTTAGTGATTGTTATAAATAAACACGACAATCCCCACTGTAAAATATGATTACATTGCTAAGCCAACGAGCTGGCTTTAATGACTAACGTACTAGGCTATGTACTCATGTTGTCGACAACGCGCTATTTTACCACAGTATTTTAGTTATACCATTTCAAAGTATTTCTTTATTATATATATATATATGTATATATATATATTTGAACTAGGGCTCATTAGCTATCCTAGCAAAACAATTATTCTGGAGCCGCAAAAATTACCGTGGGCGCCTAAAAATGTTAGGATTTTGGTGTAAAAATTCCAGAGCCAACACTACTACCAATTTGCCACAACAACTCCTACAAGTATGTGTTTTCGTAATATTAAGTATTCAAATTAATTAGGTTACTCTTGAAAGTATTATGAAACTAGGTGAATAAAAGCAGATGGATCATAATTTTATGAATTTAACAAAATTGGTTTCAAAATTTTTGGTTAACTACAAAATTTTCTATTGAATTTACAAGTTTGCTTTTAGCAATTAAATTAGGAAACACTATAGAAAAGAAAAGGGCCGGCGGCCACTTACTCGGCCCAGCAGCCCAACGCGAGGCGTGGTTGCGCGCGTGCGTCGCGATGGCCCAACGCGGCCCAAGGCCAAGGGAGCCCGCGCGCCACGCCAGCTTTGCAGAAAAGCCCCCGAGCTTTTAGATAATAACATGACTATTATGCGCACTATTCCTACCGACAATGGTTTTACAAACAAACCCTCGGCTGTTTCCACCTTTACCACGGGGAGGTCCTTGGGGATCCCCGCACTCGCCGACGCAGCGACCGACGGCATAGGGCGATTACGTCGGGCAACCTAGGCGTGCTATGACAGAAGTAAGGAGCCGACCACCATCTACAACTAAACGTGCAAGGATGGGTTGCGGTTAGGAACTCAGAGATGTACTAGCGCGAGCGACAACGGCGAGCTGCTATCCGCGGCGGCGGCACGGCTGTTCCGATGACCTAGGGCACTAACGGAGAGGTAGAGACGGCAGGGAAGCACCAGAAACTCACCGAGCACTGAGCTGGGTGGTCCGGCCACGTGTGTCCGCACCGCGCGGCGGCACTCCGAGCCGGTCACCGACGCGTCACCACGTCGCCGACGAGTTCTCTTGCCAAAATAGTGCAAGCACCGGATGGAGGAAGTCAAGGCAAACTCAGGGTAACGAGCAATTGAACTGTTACCGCTCCAATCCTACCTCTCTCCCCGGTCCAAGGTCACGGTGGCGAACATGGCCCATGACGAGCTAATCATCGAATTGTCGCGGCGTAGGACTCTACCTTGGCCAGATGTGGTTCAGGCGGCTAGCTAGCTCTCCCTGCTACTTATGGGCTGAGAAACCATGGGCTAGGCAAATTTGAAAGGTGGGGCACGGTGCCCAGGCTGAGGCCACGTCATGGAGAAAAAGCATGCGGATGAGCTCGAGCGGTAGGGCGTGTTAAAGCGGGGCTCCGGTCGGCGGTGGCAGAGCGAGCTCGTGCACACAGGGGACGAGACTAGGCGGCTTGGCGCGACGTTCATACCAACAAGCGGCAGGACCCAAGCGAGATCGCCTGTGTCGGCTAGCGGGCAAAACAGGGCAGGTAAGCGTCCCATCGCCGCTGCGTCCGGCCCTCGACTCGTCACGACGGCAAGGTTCTAGCTTAAGGACTAGGTGGGGTAGGTAGGGCGAGGGGCGGGGCGAGCACCACATTGATCGCGCGATGCAGCAGCAACCACGGCGCGGCCTAGCGGCCAGCCATGCAAGCATGGCGTGCGTGCAGCAACGGGACCAGCCGCAGCCAGCTAGGACTGGCCGTCGCCCGGGGCAAGGCCGCACGGCGTCAGCCAGCCACAAGCTGGCCAGCGGTAGTGACCCGGCCACAGTTGGAACTCGGCAGCGGCAGCGCTCGTGCTCGGATGGTGACCGTGCCCACGGGACCAACGGTGCTAAGCACGGTTTTTAAAGCGAGCCAAAAACTGCTAACGACCCCGGATGAAGTTCAACTGATTTTCCTATCCTACAGCCAGCAGTGCCAACTATCTGGTGAAGCAATCACCAAGAGCATGGAGCAACTAGAGGAGAAGATAGATGTATGCCAACATGGGCTCGTCGCTCTGAACGCCCGTTCATGAACGGAGCGCCAACGACACAATTCAGACACATTTTAACGAAGTTAGAGCAAATTTACGAGGGTATCGTAACACCCAACATCACTACCACCTAAGCCATGCTCAAGTGCACACTCAGGGACAACCAATAATATAAGAACGTGAAGTTGGTGCCTAACAATTTTTCTTAGAATTTGGATGTCAAAACAACATTGTCTACTTCCTTTTTCCGACTTCGAAAAGTCGAAAGCTTCGATTGGAGCTAAGCAACTTTTAACACTTTTGCCCTAATTTCTAAAAGGCCTAACCCTATTAACCTCGACCAACCCGTACTCCCTGCAATAGCCATACTTCCTACTAATCCATAGGAGCAAAACATCTGAGCACCTTTTAACTATTTTACTCAATTTAATTCGTCAAAAATGATATTTTAAACACAATCCAAATTCTTGCCGATCCAACGAAAGTTCCCGTTAAATCACGGATTCGATGTTTGAGCTCCAAAAACCCTAGTTACAATATTCACTTCCGAAAATTACAGTTGCATTCTTATCTACCCTATTCGCTCATCATTTTACATAAACACCATACACAAGTTATATCTTGTTTTTGTTTACCAAGATCGCTTTCCCGTTTCATACGTGTTCTAACTTGTTAAAAATTCAAAAACCCATTCGGCTTAATTTCTCTGAGACCTTAACTTAGATGCTAAGTCAGCTCGTAACACCGAGGTGTTACGGTGTCACACCAAGGGGGCAAATTTCCGTGGTGGAAAATGGTGTGGTGGCAGTAGCTGTTAATGGTGTCGCCTCAGAAGACGTCAACCCAACAACTTAACAACTGAAGAGGCGGCTGTTGCAAATGGCCGTTAATTTTCACCGCATGCCATCAGCTATTTGAGCCCGGTCCAAGGAGACGTCTTTTGTGCCGCAGAAGCTGCTGGTGTTCGAGTCATTCAAGATCCAGCTATGTTTTTTCCCCTCTGTTTTTCCTTTGCAATGCTGCTTGGTTGCAGAAGGGTGCAGTCTAAGGCGTATCCTGCTAGGTTTCTCCTGTTGGTTTCTTCGAATGTGCCATTTTCGCAGTGGATGGTTGCATTGTCATCTAAGGTGGTTAGATAGATATTAGCTGTTCTTATTCCGTCCAGTTCTGTACTTTGTCTTATAGTTTGCTTGTACCTATGCGTGGAGATTTGAAGGCCCTGGTTCTTCATGGCGAGTGGATTTTGAAGCGAGTGGAAATGGTTTTATCTGAATTTGGGAAACACCGATCTTTTTCTGTCATACATGTTACAGCGCGTTGGCCTTGGCTTAGGTTACTTCCATTTCTCTATTGCTTTGCCAATTTCCTCCATAGCCCGCAATCTGTTGATGGTCACGTAGTCAAATTCTTGATACGCCTGAACAAAGAATGCAGGGAGACTCATGGGCTTTGAACCAGTATCCATATTCGATTCTGGCATGTATACATACTGTTCCAGTTGCTGGCATACCAATATTCAGAGAGATCACTTCAGGGTTTAGTGCTTTATTTGTGGTAAGACAGATCAGTTCAGAGTTTAGTGCCTTATTTGTGGCAAGGCGAATAATCAAATTCATTCAAAAGAGCAGCAAAATGGATCCAATTCAAACAATGCAATTTATATCAGTATATCACAATTTTCACACATTACAACCTGTGTTGAGAAGAACAACTAAGTTTTACATGCACACAACGGTGGAAGCATACTTCAAAGTCATGCACAGAGCACCGGTGATGACACTTCTTTCTTTGGCAGCAGCTACGGTGCGTTCATCTTGGTGAACCATGGTTGCTTGAGCGCGGCAGCTGCCGTGAGCCGCTTGTCGGGGTTGCAAGTGAGCAGGCCGCTGAGTACCTGGAATCCTTCCTCGGACAGCTTCTTCTTGGGGAACACCTCGCGCAGTAGGTTGCTCCGCTTCATGTATAGCTCTGGCATCATCTGGACCAGGGCAGCGAAGGGTGTGGACGAGAACCATGGCCACGTCGTTTCATCTGGCGCGCCGAGGACGTCGAATATGGCGGCGAGCTGGCCTGCTCCATCGGAGGCCATGAATAGTGGAGACCCGTTGATGAGCTCCGCCATCACGCAGCCGAGCGACCAGGTGTCAACGAGGGCGTCATAATCGGGCTTCCCCAACAGCATCTCGGGCGCCATGTACCACAGCGTGCCGGCGGGCTCGTACGGCAGCGGCTCATCCATGCGCATGGCGAGCCCAAAGTCGCAGATCTTGACGGTGCTGCCTTCGCCGCTGACGAGGATGTTTTCGGGCTTGATGTCCCGGTGGACGACGTGGGCGTTGTGCATCTTCTTGGCGCCCGTGAGTAGCTGCCACATGACGGCGCGCACGATCGCCTCGGGTGGCGGCGGCATCCCAGCGCAGCGGCTTTGGTGGAGGAGGTCGTTGAGGCTCGGACCGACACACTCCATGACGAGGCAGCAGAGGGCCATGGTGGCCGGGTTGCGGGTGAGGCCGTGGAAGCCGACGACGAACGGGTTGTCCCGGCCGCTCGCCTCCAGTAACCACGCCTCCCGCAGCAGCGCCATCTGGCTGCAGAATTCCCCGGCGGCGAGGCGCTTGATGGCGACGGTCTGGCCGGTGGCGCGGTGGCGCGCCTTGACGACGGCGCCGAAGGCGCCCATCCCGAGGCAGCAGGTCTCCTCGTAGTCATCGGTGGTGCCGATGGCAGTGCGCGCCCTGTTGTTGCCGGTCGGTCGCGCGGCGCCGGGGTCGCGGACGGCGGTGGCTGCTGCCTCGACGCAGGCGGCCATTAGGGCTTGTGGATGATTCCGCGGACTTCTTGCTGGTGGCAGGGGCAGGATCGCGGGAGGTGGGGGAGAGGCGGCTGGAAGTTGGCGATGAGGATGCGAGCCATGCGCAGGTAGCGGCGGCCGTTATATACAGCGGAGTGATCGAGCCCGACTCCGATGTTTCCAATTCGACTTGGTTCCGCATCCGTACGTACAGTGGAGGTGTGTATGAGCGAAAACGAAAAGCATCCGAAAATCATGCGTTGAACACACGCACGGGTCCTACAATTTTTATTACACCATGCCGACTCGATCAGGATGGCGTATACCGACCGTATAGCAGTGGAACAAGCTCCGGAGTCCGGATCGACGTCAGTCCGGTACAAGGGCTCGATCGAGGCAGAATTGAAAATACGACGACCAGCTACTCTGGCATGGAGGGCTTGCATTGCCTCCATCACCAATTCGATCACCAGTTGGAGAGAGCGCGCCGAGACAACTGAGGCTGAGACGGCGCCGGCGCCGGCGCTGGTGCCGGCAGCGGGGTCGCCGTGGTGGCTGGAAGAATGGTGACGTTGAGCTTCATGCCAAGCTGGCAGTGGCTGCCCACCGTGCAGATGAACCACCTCCGGCCCGGCTTGTCGAGGCTGAGCTGGTCGTCGCCGGAGTTCCAGACGGAGGTGGCCGCCGCCTTGTTGCACGCCTTGAAGTCCGGCCCGCTCACCTCCGCCACGTTGTGGGAGCTGGAAGCGTACTTGAACGCTGCAAATTAAAAGTGTCGCCGGATCAGAGAGCGAGGCCTATGTGCATATGTACGTCGCATATAGTATAAGGCCTTTGATCCAGCTGCGAGTACGTACCTAGTGTGTCGCCCACTGTGAACTGCTTGCTCTCGGCCTAGGCGGCGTAGTCGAACCCGAGCGTCCAGCCTTGGCTGTCGCCCACGACGTGATCCGTGGCGGAGGCGAGCGTGGGCAGGAAGACGAGGGCCATCGAGGCGGCCACCACTGCAGCCAGCATTTGCTTGGAAGCCATGGAGACGGATGCCTGCCGGACTCTTTTTTTTTTCCCTTGGCTGTGCTTATGCGATGCTCTGAGTTCAGAAGCACGAATTCAGTGCATTCTTATATAGAGGACGATCGAGATCTTGTTTGTTTGGTTCCCAGGATGTTGGAGAATCGGTCAGTGCTGCAGTGCTGCGACGGGCTCCAAAGCAGGCTCAGGGCGGCAGGAGTCACGGGCCAAATACAACTGTAGTGAAGTGAAAACTTTGCATCGGAATAACCGATGACAAAAAGTGAAAGAATGGAAGCATCTCATCTACAAAAACAAGCGTGTTACGTTGTTTGACATGGTCTCAGTGCCGCCTATTCGCTTCGAACTACGGCCAAGCGTATTCCAGATGAGAGCAAACATAACTCTAAATTCATTACAAAGTCTAATTAACTCTATACATCAAGTTTAACATTAACATCCAATGTGAAAGATAAAATGTTCATGGTGTTGTCGAGGCCCTCGGAGTTCGACAACAAGGTCGAAAATAGCAAGTCAAAGGTACAAATACTGTTCCATATCCTTCCGAGGACTTTGTTGTTAGTTAAGACTTCTCTAATTTTGATCGAGTGTCTAAAAAATGTATCAATGTTAATTGTCAACACCAACTTAATTTTATCCAATCAACTATACGCAATATGTCATAAGAGTAAATTTATTTGGTATTGTAGATGTCAATGTATATTCTTTAAAGATGTACAATAGGGGGGCAAGAAGTTTAAGGGCTATCCATTGTAAGCCTCCCCTAGAGCGCCGCGAAGGCACGCTGTAAATAACTATCTCTACCTTAACATAAAGACATGCAAACATTTTGTGTGTTTGAAAAAAAATATTTCTTTATAAATTCGTTTGAAGTTAGAGAAATCTATAATTTGGAATAGAGTGGATAGCTTTTATTTGGTTAGTTGCCAAAATTCTGAAGTGTCTATATATGCATCTGCACACCAATATCAAGCCATGTTGAATTGGTAGTTTTGTCATCCTATATGCATGTGCACACCAACATCAAGCCATGTTGACTTGAAGTTTCGTCATCAGGTCCTAGTGGTGTTGGCCTGATTGCAGAGTGACATCAGTTGTGCCTTTTCTTTCGCTGAGGGCAGTGGTGTGGTTTGGTGGTGCTTCATTGTGTGTGCGGGTTGTGTTGATGTCTCAACCCAACTGTCTGATTTTTATCTGTATTGTTTTTAATAGTTCTCATTATTGCTTTCGTTGTTGTGGTCATATGGCTCCGCTATATTTCTATTGTTTGCCCCAGTCTGGATTCTAATATAATTGGCCTTATCTGCCTAGTTTGTTTTTTAAAATAAATTAAAACATATGCAAAATCTGGACGAGCTCATTGCCGCCCTAACTTTGGCTCCCTCCAAATTTGGCTGCAACAAGCATTATGGGCCTGTTTGGCAGAGCTCTACAAGTTCCAGATCAAAAAAAAAACCAGATCCAGAATCACTTTTTCTTTGCCAAACGCTTTTGGATCCAGCAGCTCCACCATGGATCTGCTCCACAAAACGGTGGATCCGCCTTTAGATTCACCAATTTGGTGGAGTTGGAGAAAATTACCTACCATGCCACTCGTTACACAGGAGATAATAATTCGTTTTTGTTCTATTCGCATCTTCCTCCCGTCGTGAGGCAAAGGGCGCACCCCGTGCCGTCAGTGCCCCTGCACCGGCCGTCAGAGCCCTTGCACCGGCCGCAACATGCCCAGACTGCCCCGCCCGCGGAAGCCCCTACACCGCCCAGATTGGAGCCCTGCTCGCCCCCAATGCCGCCCGCCGAAGCCCTTGCACCGCCCTGGCCGCGCCCCGCCCACTGCAGCACCGCCTAGGCCGCGGGCCGCGCCCGCCCCCGACGCCGCCCATCCTGAGCCCCAGCCACACCCTGCCAGCCCCGTCTCCCGCCGCTGAGCCAACCCCGCCCGACCGTCCGCTCGCGCCCGCCTCGGCCCCTCCCGCCGGCTCCGTCTGGCCGCCGTCGCTATGAGCTACCAGTTTCAAAAAAATCAGTAATGCTCTTGTTTGGCCATCTCCGTCTGTTCGCACAGACCCCGCCCGCGCCGCCTCCATCCGCATCGCCCACTCGCGGCGTGCACCCCCTACTCGCGGGACGGATCCCACCCTCCTCGTGCCGCCCTGCCCGTACTCATACCTCCCGTTACAGCCGTGCTCCATCTACCTGCCGCAGCCCCTGCCGAGGTGCGGCGCCGACGAGCTTGAAAGCATCTAGGCCCCTAGTTTGGTTTCGGTGATTAATGACAATACATGATTACTGTGACTAACGTGTGTTTTGCATAGTCAATTAAGTTAGGTCACGGTAATGGAAATTGATTGGGCAATAATGGTTCTCATGCCCCTACGATGGAAATCGTTTCAGTTTTCAAAGGATGGACGACAAGGCTAAAGATGGACTAGTTCTAAGTGTCGTTTGGAGTTGAAGAGACACTTATAGTAGTTTAGGACTTTGTTTTTCCTTTGGCCGCACTATTAAGGGGGGTATGGACGGGTAGCTTGACCTAGGTGAGTCTAGTGGGTTAGGTGTGGTGCACACTTGTCAAATCTAGCACTAGGTATCTCCTAAATAGCCCTTAGATCAATTGGTTCAAACTTCATTCACGTATGATTGAGAGTTAGAAGTCAATGGAGGGTCAAATGTTGATCGAACGCTGGTTCCGGTGTGACCGGACGCTGGCGCAGAGTTCGGTCAGTTCATTTGATCAAGGTGAAGTTGTCTGGTGCGACCGGACGCTGGGTGCCAGCATCCGGTCAACTCCAGTAAAATTCTAGAGAGTAGTTTTCGCGACCGGACACGTCCGGTTAGTGCTGATCGGACGCTGCTCAGCGTCCGGTCACCACTTAACTGCTTGGTTTCGGGGAGATCTGACCAAAGCGTCTGGTCAACATGACCAGAGCGTTCGGTCACCCCGCAGAGGCACATAACTGTTCGTTTTGAATGAGGAGTTATAAATACTTCCTCTATTCACTTAAGGGATCACTTTTGCTCATTCCAACAGCTGAGAAACACCATTGAGAGTGCCAAGAAGAGCAAGGTCCTAGTGAGGTGATTGAGATTTGAGAATCCAAGAGAAAGGCCTCATTAGTGAAAGCAAGAGTAGCAAAGTGTGCATCCACCCTTCTCATTAGGCTTGTCATGGTCAAGTGAGAGTTCATGCTTGTTACTCTTGGTGATCGCCATCACCTAGATGGCTTGGTGGTGATTGGGAGCTTGGTGATCATCCGGCAGAGCTTGTGGATGACCCAACTCAAGTTGTGAGCGGTTGTTGGTGATTCACCGCGATGAAGTGTCGAAGAATCAACCCGTAGAGAGCACTTGATCCTTGCGCAGATCAAGGGGGAGCTACACCCTTGCACGGGTGCTCCAACGAGGACTATTGGGGAGTGGCGACCCTCCGATACCTCGGCAAAACATCGCCACGTTCCTCCTTCTCTCTTTACTTTAAGCATTTACTTTGAGCAATTCAATTCTTGTCTTTATATTCATAGAATTGCCATGCTAGAGTAGGATTGGAACATAGGTTGCTAAACTTTTGTGCGGTAGAACAATATAAACACATTTTAGGCACATGGGGTGAAGTGGGCTAACCGTAGGGTTTAATTATTGCAAAGAATTTTAGAATTAGTCCAATTCACCCCCCCCTCTTGGGCATCTTGATCCTTTCAATTGGTATTAGAGCCTCGTGCTCACGAAATTAGATTTAACCGTCTAGAGAAAAATGTCTCACGGGGATAGTCCTCCTTCTATCTTTGAGGAGGATGATTTTTCTTATTGGAAAATCCTCATGGAGGCATATTTAGAGGCTCTAGAGGTTGGAATACTTAGAGCCGCCTCACAAGGATTCCCAAAACCTCGGGATCCCACGCACCTTCAAGGCAATAAAGTAAATTACAAAAAATGGAATGCAAAGGCTCGAAACACCATCTTTAGAGGCCTTTGCAAAGATGTGTTCAATCGGGTGAGGAACCACAAAGACGCACATGCACTATGGTCGGATATTTGTGCGCTCCATGAGGAAACTAAGAGCGAGCATGAGGAACGATATCATCTTGTTATGAAAAATCTAAATTCATTTGAGATGCTTCCCAAAGAGAGTGCTAATGAAATGTACTCACGCTTGAATGTTCTTGTAGAGGAAGTCAATGGGCTTGGACTCACTCAAATGCAACCATCCGATGTTGTAAGAAAAATCTTGAGTGTCCTCCCCATTGATAAATATGGGCATACTGTGACCGTGCTTCATCAAGGTGATATTTCCACCGCTATACCGACTTAAATCTTAGGAAAGATCAATGCTCATGAGATGTACATGCACATTGCACCACAAGATGGCTCATCCTCTACTAAGAAGAAAGACAAGGTGATGAGGACATGACACCCATGCATATGACCATGTTTGATGCATGGTATGGAGGGGTAGGAGGCCAGCAAGGGTGTCCAAGTCAAGAAGGAGGCCTGAGGCTAATTCGGTTCGAGTCCCCGAGGTGGAGGCCCAAAGCAACTCAAGTTCGAGTCTGCCTCGGCGTCCAGGACCAATCTACCTTAAACTGGTCACCCAAGACGCATCCAGACTCCATTTTCGACGATCTATATATGGTTCGAAAGCTAATTTGATAAGGAAGCCAATCCAAGTGGTCTCACATAAAAAATCCTTCATAATCAATGGAAATCGTCGAAACAAGTCAGCATCCAGAATCTACCAGGGTGCCGCGACACCGTCTTTTGGTCCGTTGGACCATGTATCGTGTTTGGGCCTCCACCTCGGGGACTCGAACCGAATTAGCCTCAGGCCTCCTTCTTGACTTGGACACCCTTGCTGGCCTCCTACCCCTCCATACCATGCGCCTAACATGGTCATATGCATGGGTGTCATGTCCTCATCACAAGGACTTAGCATTCAAAGCTAGCCAAGAGAAGGGAAAAGCAAGGCTTGAGTATGAGAGCTCAAGTGATGATAAAATTGATGA